GAGGCAAATTACAAAAATAACAATAATCCAACTAAACCTATCTTAACCAAGACTTTTTTGCCCAATGTTAATTTTTAAGTAGTTAATACTCCGGAGTAAGTAAATATGTACTTATATGAATTCCATTTTAGGAAGGCTAACTAAAAATAACAAAGAGTGGTTCATGAACAAGTAAATACAAATGTGAGAGTAAAGCACAAAAGAACTGTACGATAAGAGAGACTAATACRAGCTTTCAAACCCACATACTAAAACCCCGCATCTACAAAACAACGTCTGAGATATTTTTGAGGGACTTTAACGATCAATCATCACGTTACGCGACTCAATATCCGCCTCCTCTCTCATTACGAAAAAAGAAACGTATACGTATACCTATTGAAATTAGATTTMTATCTAAAACAAGCTTTATCTTTAAGCATCCGTAAGTAATTTGCATCGTAACTATTCGGTTATTTACAGTAATTAAAACGTTTATAGCAGAGCAAAAGCGTAAACAGAACATATTAACGTCTCTATAGAGCTCGTGTCTCAAGATACATCCAGGATGGTGCCTACACCTCGTTGTTTACTATCGTGAACACGTGTAGCAGATCCATAATGTAAACTATATCAATTTACATAATGGCTGGATGCACGCAACACAAACCAGACTTAGTCTCCAGGTTGTAGGATCGGAGTTGAAAAAAGAGCTCGTTGTTGTTTCGAAAAGCTCTAATAGAGTCTAACCTAGAAAAAACGCAAGAAAAGGCAAAGATAAAGAATGCCGTCAACTTGGGCGTGGTGCTCTGGTTCTCTTTATTGATTCGTCATCAGGTTGGTTTTCAATTAAGAGCAAGTGGTTACCAGGGGAACGGGTGCTCGTGGCAATGCTGCCGCCTGCGGTGAGATTCAGAATCATCCACATGTTTTGCATGCCTCACCTCATGCCCTATACAGCGCTGTAATGAAGCAGAGTCGTAAAAAATCCACGATTTATGTACAACAATAACAATTACAATAAATGTAATCCCGGCATATATCTTCGCTAATTGACATCGAAACAGCCTTTAATTAAAAGTAAAGGGTGGTTGAGTGCCACTCATCTGATAAATATGTATCATATTTATTTTATAAATAAATCGGAACGAGAGATTTGTTGAGTAATCACAAAATCATTGAATAAAACATCATCCGAGAGCATCTGTTGAACGAATAAACAAAACTGTTACAAGTGTAACGCTGGCTGTAACTTCTACTCGAATGATTTTCATATCTGACGCAAATCCAAAGGTTGGAGTAACCGCCGCGGCGGTGAAATAACAAGAGGAAAAGGATGTCAGGACGTCTCCCATTTCGTTGTGTAATGTACCCTGAAGCCCTTAAAGCTGATAAAAGTGCTGACTCATTTACCGTTTTTATCCAATCAATTTCGACTGGACGTACTATTTGTATAGGTCTAATTATCTTCCAGACGCTTTCAACCACTTTCCAAAAACGACCTATTCTCAGACAAACGGCAACAGGAAATTTGAATCGAAATCTGCTATAGCCACATAATTCAACTGCTTTCACGCCGAACGCATCCGAGATAACTGCGGAAACGTTAAACGAGTTTTTCACGATGAATTTTCATACGGAGCAAGATCACAACTCAAAAACGACAGTGATTTAAACACACGAAAATATTTCACTTACCTTGTGGGAAACTTCAGACATCGAAAAGAAAAACGAAAAAGATGCTTTAGCAGATGTTATTTCATTCGATATTTGGAAAATATTATGGCACTATTCATTAACCTATGTACATATTTAGTCTAAATTTAACTGGGCTTTTAAGGCTTCTTACTCTTTTAGACAAAAATTAATTTTCTAAAACTGTACAATCTTATGAAAATGAAATACATTCATTTTATACATTTGAGAGTTCTTTAACAAAATTTAAATACAAGTAGATGAATAATTTGATTGATTTGAAAAATATAATTCTAATGTAGACACTATAAAAACAAAAAACTACCTACATTCAAAATGCATTCCTCTTACCATGGTCATTTAAGATTGTTTTATCGAACTAAAAGAGTGATCATAGAGGGCAGTGAGAAAAATAAGTGAGAGAGAAACTTCAAACAATTTGATGAGTTCTGTATAATTACGGTTTAATAAAGGATTCACTAAAAGAAACAGACCAAGATGTAATTGTTTTTTATTTGTACATAAATGTACATTTATACAAACTATTGTGATGGTCAAAGTTTTATCTGCCAAACTTATAGATTTAAGTAAGAAAGATTTTATTTCATTTAATAAACTGTTTCCAATATTTTTAATAAAGAATTAATATCAAGGCATACTATATTGTAAAAAGGCTTGAATCTATTTTCTCCAAAAATTTTAAGTTTTATAATATTTTGAAAACACTTTGTCTTTAAATTGCGTGAAGTACAGACTTATAAATAACAGAAACAAAATATTTTTTGAACAAACACAAAAACTGAGAAAATATGTTTAAAAATGTAAAGAGAAAAATACTGATATAGCAATATAAAAARAACTCGCTGTATACACTGAGATTTTTTTTAATATATTAATATGAGTATTTCTTCACTAATAGAGAAAACATTCTACATCCTCTTTCCATTGAAACAAAAAATTATATCTAGATTAAAACCAGCAACTGTTTAAGTCTGAAAGTTAGTAAATTTAACCCTCATTTWGAAAGCTATGAAAACAAAATTGATTATTCCTAAATAAGGTGCAAAGCAATAAAATGATCAAAGAAATTCAAAATCCTTGTACATTTAAAGAGATAAAGCAACAACACAGACAACATTTTAAATAACCCTTTCTTTAACAAGGTCTTTTATGATGTAAATAAACTTGTTTACTTTCTAAAAATTTAATTAACACTATACACAAAATACAACAACCCACATAGTAGAAAGTCAAAGTTAAGTTATTTAAAAATTAGAGGCATAAATTAACGTAATTAAAATTCACACTTGAGCCTTAAACTTCCAAAGCAAACCAGCATCTGTAATAATTTTTTTATTTATAAAAATGTAGCAAGGCAAGAATAAAAAGGTCTCAACACAAAAAGAGATTTCCGTAACTGCAAAAACATGTATTAAAACTCATATCAAAAAATTTCGCTTAAAATTTTTTTTTTATGTACCTCACTACTTACTTAGTCGCTAAAAAAATACATCACACACATTAATACAAAATTTTGCTTGCAAAATAGTGACTGAAAATGTTGTATCGCCGGGCCAAACACGTTAAATTCATTAAATCCAATCTAGTCTAAAATTCGTTCTTCCATTTTCCCTTTTCTGTTCACTTAATCTGGTCATACACTGGAAAAGTTTCAGCTTACAATTTTATTACTTCATTTCGGGTAAATTTTAAGCTTTTCAAAAGGGTCAGTTCAAATTTCCTAAACGTATAATAATCTGTGCGTCTCTTGAAAACTGTCTCCTTCTCTCGCTTCGTTAAACACGTTACCTTTGATATTTCCATGGGAATGTTAAAAACTACCACCACCATTAATATTAACGTTATAGAATATTACCGTAAAATTCGTTTAATGAAAAAAAACTTTTGAGCCCGATTTGATTCACTTTTATCTCAATTTTCAAGTAAATTAAGCGTCAATATGGTCTTTCAATCTTAATAAGACCGTTCCATCCAGAAAATTTATGTATTTGCAACGTGAAGTTTTTCCAACGCAACAAGTCCTGGATGTATCGCCTCAAGAAACAATTCCTGTATGGCGGATATTAAATTTGTATTTGACAAGACAACGTGAATGTTATTGATGGAAGAATTTTATTTTTCGTTTTTTTGTGTCGTAGTCAAGTTAATAATTCTGTCTGAAATCCAGCGAGGCATGCACTTGACTTTTCTAAATTTTATTATTCTTTAAGGGCCGTTAGTGAGGCGGAATGTAACGATTGTACTAAACGAGAAAAAGTTGTTATCGTCTGAACGAGTCGCGTTCCCGGACAAAGACGCAAGTGTTAATTAAACTATTCACTCGCGTTCCACAATTAATTTTTTCAATTCTCTGGGGCTCAAACTTCGACTGTATAAAAGCGCATTGGCAAGCATTAAAGAAAGAATGAGTCGGGTCGGATTTGATAAATAGTCCCAAGGTTTGCCTATCGGGAAAATGTAGCTGTCAAAGTGTCGACAAATGAGTTAGAGAGTGACGAGCGAAATCCTCCAGAGCCGCGTCCCCGTTTATTATTCTTCACGCAACCAGCACTGTTTTAAAACACTAATAATCGACTCTGATTGATTTTTTAATTATTTTTATCAAATACAAAGTTCCTCCGTGGCTAGAAATTAAATTTTCCGTCAATCTTTTTGATTGAGAAATATAAAATTTATGGTTTGTTTGTAATGCAGATACATTATTCCGATTTGGTCATGAATAAATATGAGTCTGTAACAATGAATGTAGTATCTTGTCATAAAAATAACGTAACGTCTCTTATATTGTCTATAAAAGTTTTATCAGACGTGTTACGGCAAATGCTACCCCTGGCTTAAATCTATTTTGCGTAATAGATTTGCATGGAGGCAACCGAAAAGTCCCTCTTTTTTCATTAAAAATATTTTAATTTAATTAATAATTTCTTGATGATTCATTAATAGTTGATCTCTATATTCTAATTATTTTCATAAAAACTATAGAGGGAGACTAAAAATCTGTCGTTTCAAGTTTGTCTACAGAATTTTGACCTCGGAGTAACCCTAATTGTTTAAAATAATGGTAACTACAAGACCCAATTCCAACTATTGTGTTACTAGTTGTATTAAACTTGGAAACTGTTATTAATATTCTTGATGGTCTAATTATTCCTCATTATCCCATGTCTGCTTATTTCGCCATAGATATGCAAATACGTCTTATCTACAAAGTTGTAGACATTTACCACAAGGTACAGACAAACAGATCCTCAATTATTACAAGAAAAAGTTGAGGTGCGCTTAAAACAGGTATATTATTGTTTCAGACCGGCAAACACTTCCATCGTACCTCGCTTCTCATCAAAGCCTTCAACCACAAGTTTCGCCTGGATCTTGAACTTAACACGTAAGTACAATAACTTAAAATCCATTAGAACGTTACATAAAAGAGAAGACTCAAATATTCAATCTTCAATAATTTCGAAGGGGAGAAAATGTTAATGGCGACTCGATAACAGTTACGACATCGAATTAATTCTAAGTAATTTTAGGCCTTTAAAAATTCAAACAATGCTTTTGATAAACGCCCATCTCCTAAACGAMGTCTTTAGATTTTACGATAGCAAAAAACCGTGTTAGTTATYTGGCCCCTCGTTGTCGCAACTCTGTTAATTTTGCACTTGTCGTAGCAAAACATGCTCCAAAGTTWTSAATTTTAGTCACGTCGAATATGATATACAAGCCATTGTACATGACGCCTGAAAACCCGTATTCCGTTCAAAGGAAGTGTAAAACTGGAGAGTGTTTTCACACAAGCAATATCATGTTTTGGAAGGGTCTCTTTCGTCGACGTTCGTGCTTTTATTAATAATTTTCCTACAATAATAAATTTTGCCGGGAGCGTTTGAAGTGTTCTGTCAGTGTCCAGTTTTTGAAGGAAAAGCGTGTGAAAAATGACCGGTCTCGTGAGTTATTTCGTTTTGCAAGAACCGTTAACGATTTCGACACGAGAAAAAACTGTGTTTCTCGGTCACATGTCCAGCTAGATAATGGCTTCGTAGAAACATTAAACTTAACTGAAAAATATCAATGGAAATATCGTATGATCCACGGAGATAACTTTTACAACTAGATCGTAAGCTTTTGCAAACTATCGTAAAAAGACAGAATTATTGATGAGCTAGGGCGACAAATTTCGACGGATGCCGGACAAGGGTTTACAATTTTTACAGCCGTATATCAGAGTTCAAATTAGATGAGAATCTTATTTGGGACGATCAATAAAGCTTTGCCGGCCCTCAAACGCACTGATAACAGGCCCTTAAAAGTTAAATCCTCTTTCCACATTTTGAAAATTCTAACACAATTCTAACACAAATTTTGGAACCTTTAATAAGTATTTAGTCTAATATATTATCTGACGTAGAAAGTCTATGAAAATACATTTTGTTGTTTTGTAAGAAAGTCACATTTTTACTTTCCTTTATTTAATTTTGTTCGTGGGTAAGCTGTTGCAAGTCGCATGTTGATCTAGCTCTGGCCTTATCATGTCCGATTAATTAAAAGTTTCCGGTTTAGAAAGAAAATAAAGCGCGCTAGGGCAAAGGTGACGTGGGTTAAATCGAGTGTCGCATATTAATGCGGCGCTAGTGTTGCCGCTCACGTAAGTTTATATAAATTTAATGGTAAGAGAGCAAAAACTCACTAGATTTAAATCGTTGTGTTGCGTCTCTTTTTCTCCCTAGTAAAGGGTGTGCGATAACAAAATTAGAGAGGAGCTAATGGTGGACGTGTGGCCCTCGCCATGTAAAAGTGTCATCGAGACCAATTCAACCTTACTCTTAATTAATCGTGAAAATTTTCAGCGAACGTTTTATTCAGTTGACTGAAAGAAAATTATTCGCAGCTGTGTTGTACACGTTTTTTTCTGTTCCATTTCGGGGCGGTCTGTATAAGTGTTGCCCGAGGGTCGACAGGATAAAAAAGGATCACACAAACACAGTGCCGAGGTTAAGAAGGCTCTTCTGGACAGTGATTGATAGTTGGTTTTCCTTTCCGTTWCCTGTATAATATAGGGAAACCTCACGTACACGCCCGGAACATTTCTACAGTTTTCAATTTGTGTTAAGAATTTTTGGTTTATACGTGGAAAAAGGACTAAAAATAAATCTCGTTCGAGTCGGAGAATCACGGCGCCACATGCGGCACGATTCATTTGTTTATTATATTTTTTAGCCACGTAAATCGACAAACAAATTCGATACATAAGTAAACATGTTGGAAGTTTTTCAACTCGGTTGAACAAAAGAAGAGGAAAACTTTGTTTGAAACATTACGGAAATCGGCTTATTCACACCGAAGATTTTACACCGCGGCTCATAAAACAAGTTACGTCACTTTTTTCTCCGAACTAAACTGACATCTGAACGGGAACGAGCTCGAAAATCTACTTGAATTGTAGGCAAGTCGGTGCGGATTTTAAAAATTCAACAACGAGAAAAAATCGCGCCGGAAAAATATTGTGGACGGTTTATGACGCGGAATCCCGGCGCCTCCACCATTTTTACAAACAGAATTTCAACAGACACCATAAAACTGATACAAACAAATTGAAAAATTTACTTTAACTACTGTTTCATTTTATAGACTCAAAAAAACAAAAACTCAAAATAAAACCACAAAATGTCCTATAGCAATTATATTTAACTCTAGACTACAAGTGTTTGGAAAAACTTCAAAACTAATACAATACACAAAGATCAATTCTTTCAAACCAACTACATATCAACATATGATATATCAACGGATACCACTTTTTTTGTTTTTGAACTACTTTCTCCTTATTTTTCTTAATATAAACTCGAATACTTTTTTTCGAATGTAGAAGCCAAATAATTGTTTACAATATCTGAATTTTCTCAACTTTTTCGTTAAAATAAAAACATGAATATGTTTAAAAATTTGAAGTTTAAATGTCTATCGTAATTTGGTAAAAGATTTATATAAAAAATGATATTTCTGCTTGACTAAAACTGTAATAATTGCAAAACTTTTTTTTTCGTTGTAGCAATAGAATATTCTAATTCTGAGTCAAGAAAAAACTTATGAATATTTTTCTTATTTTCAGTAGTAACACGTTTTATTGTCACACTTTTTTTTGACTAAAAGTAACCAGTTTTTTTATCAAGAAAAAAATTATTTATCTTTCAAATTTAATTGTTAGCAGTGTTCATAATTTTTTGTAAATTATACCGAACAAGTGAAAGTTTAAATTCTTTAGTAACACAAAACTGTAAAAACTTTATTTTTGATCCTTTTATATTTTTAGGATACGCAAACTGAACACAAATTTTTCACAACTTTATTATAAGAATAAAGATTCACTCAACATAAGTAATGCTCAGAAAAGTGCTTTGATTTTATCTCTCTTTAACCGGTCGTTTTGGCTGAATTCAGATCTTCAGTGGTTACTATAAAATGATTAGGTATYTAGTTTAAGACAGAAGTCTAAAATGTACTAAAACTTTTCATTAATTAGAAGTAGTGTCGTYATTTACAAATTCTATAATATTAGGTTTGATATTGTAATTAAATCATACAGGATGTCCCAGCGAGTTGAAAAAGTCCATTAGTGACCTTTAAATGCTAAAATAAAATTTAAARAAAGTTATATAGGACATTGATAGAGATACTAATCTAGTCCATCGCCTAAAATTATTTTCAACTTACAGCGTGTCTCAAAAATAAGTTACAATACAAACTTGTGTTTTTTTAAATAAAACGCCATGTTTTTTAGCGTTTTTGGATGTAAATTTTTATGAGAATGTTTTTAAGCTAAACTTTTATTGATCGATCTTGGTTAGTTTTAAAAATAAGACGGTTTTTTGAGGAAAATTTGCACTTTTTAAAAATTTATTACACTAAAACTAAAACATCAAGAAATATTTTTTGTTACTACCGCAAAGACGAAGGTACAAGCTATAAGGTTGTAAGATTTTTTTAGTGTGTTGCATTTGCAAAGATAAAAAGAATAAGGGGTTTGTTAAAAGTTCAATAACTTAAAAAATTTTAATGGAACACCCTATTTATTGTTTTTGCATCTAAAAGATTATTAAATTGTTTTTCTAAAATTATTCACTTTTAGGTATTTATAATCAATAACTAAAAAGATATTTAACATTAAACATTAAAAAAAAATAATTACTATTGTTTCAGTAGCCAAAAAGCGACAGTTGAACAAGAGATGGAAAAAATATCACTTAATATTCACATTTGTGTTAAAAATCCATTATTCTTCATTTTTACAATAAAGTAATTCGAATTTCAGTTTTTATAACGACTTTTACAATCTCAGGATAAATCAACGGATAAAAAAACCGTCTTATTTCTAAAACTAAGCAAAATCGACTAATAAAAGTTTAGCGTAAAAACATTATTTCAAAAGGCTACATCCAAAAATGCAAAGAAACATACAAGTGTTTCATTTAAAAACACACAAGTTTGTATCGTAACTGATTTTTGGGACATCATGTGTAGTTGAAAATAATTTTAGGTAATGCACTAGATTAGTATCTATCAATGTGCTACACATTTTTTTTTATTTTACCCTTTAAAGGTCACTAATGGACTTTTTCTATTCGCTGGGACAGCCTGTATGTATTTTAAAATTTGTAGAAAAATATTAATAGTAATTTTTATTTGTTAATAAATTATGCAAAAACAGTGATTGATAAATGATAAATCACTTTAATTTACAACCGCTAAATATATGATAAACTGTTTYAGCAGGAATATTATAAATCATGTTTATTCAACTTTTGTATAATAATAATGGTGACAACGTGTCGAAAGCAGCAAATAACTGGAGATTATCGCAATAAGTCAGTGTAAATGTTGTCGTATATCAAAAATAAAGGGAACGAAATATCAATTGCCGGTTAAATATCAAAACCAGCAGGAATCTCTGTAAAAATTTCATTTCGTGGATGATTTTCTCAATTTGGCTTGCCCTAAAAACGTCCGTTGATTTCGCTCTCATGCCTTGTTCATCATCTCTGGTGAGTATTTGGCGTCGGCACTCGTGATTTCCGATGCGGCATCACAATTTATTGATAGAAGCGAGACAAAAGGGACAACGGAACGATGTGAATAGATCAGAGCTTCTTGCGTGAGGACGGTCTCGAGGCCCATAAAAACAAAAATAAAGCCCGAGTTCCTATTCCCAGTTAATGAAGGGGGTCGTCGGGTATGGAAAACGGGCCGTAGGCAGTAAAAGCGAGTTGAAATTTATGATATTCGCGATAGTGTACCTCCGAATGATTAAATAACGTGTTCCGCTTATTGATTGACAAATAATTGATATCTAGCCCCCGTCGGCCATAATAGATATGAACGTGATTAGCCGCATTACAGGGGCAATTTAGGAAAGGCTATTTACGAGATCGGTTCAGCATTAGTGCGTCGACCTAAAAACGGGCAAAGCGTGACATTTCCCGGCAAAAAAATAAGGCCGTTAAGCGTTTCAATGGGGTTAGATCTAAAGGGAGTGTTTCCGACAAAAACATTATAATTTTCATACATTAGATCTAATGGACTTTTATGATCCCGGACTAATTAATGGTCCGGGATAGGAAACGAAACCGCAAACTAAAGAAATGTGACGACAGATCTATGTTTTTTATGCAATTGACGAATTTTAGCTCGCTCAGATAAATTAATTGCTAGATTGTAAATACGTTCTGATAAATTAGTATGGCAACAGATTAATTTGTTTGCATCATCCGAAAAAGAGGCGGAAAATCAGACAGTTCGTTAGCCGGAGCCGAATTTATTCGTACAAATTAACTTAGGGAACACTCAAAAAAATTACGTCCTCGATTAATTTGTTTGTCGACAACTAACACAATGAATGCGCTTTAAGCACATCGTTTGCGATTTTTTCTAATCAAATTATTCTCTTTTGCAGACAACTCATCGCACCGAACATCATGCAGAAACATTTTCTAGCCAATGGAGCCGAACAGGTTTCGAAGCAGGTCAGTGATTTTTTTCTAGTTATTTGTTAAATTACCCGTCCCAAATGTCAGAAATTGTAATTTAATCAGCGGTAATATTTTAACGACGATATTTTAATACAAACGGTTTTTATTATTACTCGTAAAAGTTCTGTATTTCGGCATTTCCTTAACAAACTCTTCTCTGACCTTCGTGTCAAAATTCCACCCACCCCATCATATAAAATTTAATTAAATCGAATCACAGTCAAGGACCACTGTCACACTCTGCACGAATTACTCTCGTTAAACCGGCGACACCAAACCTGATATATATCTTATCTTTTTACAAATAACTTTGAAAAAACTCTGTTCCAAAGTTGCTCCATTTCAATGACTTTCAAACAGTCCCATCATAATAAGCAAAAACTTACAGCAACATCTACTAAAATGTTTACTGATTCTACGTAAACTCACTTTACTCGTGTTATTGGTTTGCAAGATTCTACTATCCAATCATAAGAGAACAAATATTTAAACTAACCAATTACGTAGTAATATAYAAAGTGGCAAACACCAACTTAATAATTGGTCAAAGCTAGTGGCGTCAAAGCACAGTGTTTAAATAAAATTAGCAACAATTTCTGAGAGAGCAAACATTTGAATACCCAAGATATCTCACACTCTTTTTAATGTAAAAAGAAAAGAAAAATATTTTAATTTGTATCGGAATGATTAGAATGGTTCAGGTTTGAAGATTTTAATAAAAGTTGAATCCTTTGAGAGAGTTAATTAGAATTTATACAATACCGAGTCCGTAACTTATCTCTTCAATATTGTGCTGAAGCTTTATTAGCATAAAAGCGAAACCTCACCGCTGCCTTTATTAATTGTCCCCCGTGATTATTAAATTGATTTAAGACAAATTAATCAGAAATTTCGACACAGCTGTCGTTTCACAAAAGAGAAAAATCGAATTAATTAACTTTCGCGCTCTAATTGTACGTAACAGTTTCAAGGCCGTCTATTTACGTAACAAATATCACTATAATCCGTAATGAGTAGATAATTAAGGCTTTTCATTGCTCGAATCTTATCAAGTGGCTCACAAAGGGCTTAATTTTTGCTTGATATGTTATTTTGCATCGGCACAAAACGAATTCGAACCGTAATGAAATATTTCTTTCGCGTAATTGCTTCATTGACAATCATAAACAAATTTAAGAAGAGATTGGTCCTGCGGGAGAAAACAACCATTTCGCGAATTTAAAACCGATTTTTCACTTGAAGGTAAACCGAGTCAAGGAGAGGTGATCTCAGAAAATCATTCAGGTGTTCAATCTAAGTCCCATTAAGACGTGATCGAAAATCCTAATGCCAGATGAGCAAATTGCACGGCCGACTCCTGGGAATCGGAGATGTGTTTGGCGTGTGACCGCATAATTTTGAATCTGGACACTATATGTGGAAATTTAATTACAGAAATTAGATCGACTGCTGAAATTTTCGACGAATAATTCCGTATTATGTCATTTGGTCAGCGTTGTGTGGCGTACGGTAGCCAGTTCTGTTGCAATTGTTCATAATCAATTACAAAACAGTTCGTTTTGGACACCCGCAATGCAAATAATTAGAGCATGAACTCGGACGACGTTCGCCGGAATGACAGATCAAGGCACCAAACAAAGAAAGTCTTAATTATGCTGTCATTTTAGATTAAAATTGTATTTTATTGCGGGTAAATAAATCAAATTGAAAGCACGCCTTTACAATTAACAGCGATAATTTAATAAATTTGATGCGCAAAAAAACAATTACGTTAACGAAGCATTGCTAATTACGCATTATTTGCATTTCTTTTAAATGATAATGACATAAATATCGCCACCGGGAGCGTCTTTATTTAAATGTTTATCCTTAACTTATTCACAATATTTTTAATTTGAAATATGTTTATAATATCCTTGATAACGTAATAACCGCAATTGCAACATAAAATTTGTGTTCTCACAATCCAAGATTTCTATCGTAAAACATGACTCGAACTGCAAGCATTAGTGTAGTGGTAGTGCTGGTAATGCTTACCGTCACTCTGACAGGTGATTAAAATTTTTGAAAAAAAAATTCCAAAAAAATTTTTAGTCGTAGTGAAAGCTGACGATGTAACGTTCTACTTATTCACCAAAGAAAATCCAAATTTTTACGAATATATCCAACTCGACCAAAGTAACATTGAGCAAAATCTACATGACAATGCCAGGACAGTACTCTTAATACATGGGTGGTCCGAAAACCGTACAGCCGACTGGTTTGAAGACTTGAAAAATGCCTTTTTGTCAAGAACAGATATCATCTACAACGTCATACATGTCGATTATAACAAAGTGGCATCAGAATTGTACCCAATAGCCGTCAAAAGAAGTGTTGGAGTTGGTAATTTAAAAACATTTAAAAAGTAGACTTGACAGAAAATTTATTACAGGAAATCAAATAGGAAAATTTATTATTGCCATGTTGAAAACCGTTTCTTTATCAAATATTGAAATATGTGGCCATTCACTTGGGGGTCAAATTGCCGGATACGCCGGTCAGTATATTTTCCGAAAAACCGGCTACAGAATTCCAARAATAACAGCCTTGGATCCAGCAGGACCTCTTTTTGAAGGAATTTTTAACATAAATAGAAAACATTTAGATAGAAATGATGCTGAGGTCGTATTCGTGATACATTCAGATCGTGGAAAATTCGGGTTTAGTAATGCTTGTGGTACTGTGGACGTTTTTCCCAATAACGGGGTGGCAATTCAACCTGGATGTCCAGATTTTTCCCAAAACGACATTCGTAAGTTTATTTTTTAACAAAGTAAATAAATTGCCGAAATTTAGTCTTTTGCAGTCACCACATGAGCTACAGATTTTATATCCAAGCAGTGGCACAGCCACAAAGTCTTTTGGCAATTCRATGTAAAAATTACGATTCCTTTCAAAGAAAAGATTGCGAACAGAGTAGAATTATTGATCTCGGAGGTGAAATTAATCCCGTCGATCGAGGAACGTATTTTTTAAAAACGCAACCAGAACCACCATACCGATTAGAGCCTTAAATTTATTTTAATTTACTTTATTTTATGATTTTTATCTAATAACAAAGTTATGATAAAATTCGTTTTCTTATTCCCAGCACGTCTCAAGTATTTTCAACATGATGTTCCAAACCGCCGATGATAATAACAATCCACAAGACCCTAAATACTGAAGAAACCCTTCAAAGAAAGTGCTTTTAGGTTGTTTACTGACTCAAGGGGGCTACAGCCGCGGATGTTTTTTATAGGTCGTGATCATCGAGATATTATAATTCCCAGATTTAACAAAATCTATTGCAATTTCTGGTGTTTGTGCGGTTTGCATCTTACCTATTTTACTAGAGTCGTAAATTGCAGCGCTTTGCGACTCAGATGACGCTCCTTATTGCTAGAGAAATGCACTTTTTGTAAAAGCTATAGCAGCAGTTCCCAACAATTTCCGCAACCATTCCAAAGTAACGGCGGAAGCTTATATCATACGAATAACTCCAAAGCGGAAAAGTTAATATCAATTTTCCTGTAATGTGACACTGAATAAAATTTTGTTGTCTGTCGAGACATGTTCTTTTGTAATTTGGGTATAATTTAGGTATCTCATTTATTGGATTGAAGGTTACGCGCTTCGCTAAAGTAGCTACACACACAAGTGCAAAGATCACGCGAAGTGTAAGATATACAGCGTGTTCTAGTTTTCATTATTTGTTCACGGCAAATAATCCTAACACTGCTGCTGAAAAATATTGAGATACCATTTGACTGATGATGTTTTTCAAAGTATGAGAAAAATTGTTAATATTTTCACTTATACCTAATATCCCGAGTGCATTGAAAATTTCCGGATTCAATCAATGCACGAGTGGTATTCTGGTGAAAATTGCATGACGAGTCCAAGTAAGTAAGTCTTAGTTTTTAAAATATTATAATATAAATATAAATATTTAAAGTTGGTTTTTGTATCAAAAAATTTCTCGTAATTTTAGCTAATGAGTGAAAAAATTTCCGGTGTTGCTTAAATACTAAATTCAGATTGGTTCTTACATAGGGTCATGCAATGTCCACCAAAATATATTAATAAATATTTTCATTATCTGATTTCAATATTAACAATTTTTTTTTTGATGATCAATTTCTCGTCACAACAGAAATCTATTTCAATCATCATAATAACACAATGTGACACGCATTCCTTGGAATAAAGATAGCTTCAATGATAATATTTCATTTTGACACAACAAATAGAAATAACTGTGCTTTCAAAATATGTTTAGTCTCAACAATCATGTAAAACGACTGCTAAAAATAAGGACATTAAATCATATCTGTCAGTCTGTATTAAAAATAACTGTAAAAGTTCAATAATTTGTAGGATGTTTAAATTCATTTCAAAGAAAATAATACACGTAAGTTGTATTAAGTATTATTTGTTTATAAAGAAATATATAATGTAAAAACAAATAAAAGAAAGTATAAAAATTCTGAATTCACGTGATTTTATATTTGTGATATTTAATTTAATCGAACACCATTTATTTAAAAACATCAAATGATGGATTGTGGCGAAATTTAATAGTATGTTAATGTTATTAGGAGTAAAAGTGATTGTTTATGTGGCGAAGCTGAACGTTCATTTTGCCGAACGGAGTGAGGCAAATGGATTCAGCTGAGTCACATAAACTCACTTTTACTCCAAATAACATATACTATTTTATCTGCAAACGGTTCAGATGGAACGAAAAGAGCAACACACCAATAATCAAGTAAATCACCTCAATAATCAGGACGCTTTGCAATAAAATCATAACAAACGTCACGCGTCAGTTTCGGAATTTGTGTTGAGATTTCACAAGTGTGGATTGATTTAACTGGTGAATAACTGGTGTAGTTTATAGTGCAAAATGTCGAATGCTGATAATATACCTTGTACCTCTCCAGAAAATGCTGAAAAAGCGAAAGGGACAAGAAAGAGACAACAGTGGTAAATGTCAAAGTAAGTGTCAAGTAAAAGTGAAAACGCCTAAGCGTAAAAACAGTGTTTTTACTCCATGTCTGAAAAGTAAAACTTTTACCTRTGTCATTTAGTCATAAAAGTGGTCACTTTTGTGACGTTTGCAGATAAACTATTTTACGTAGGATATAGAGAGCAAATAATGTAGCTACGGTAATTAGACCATAAAATAGAATACCGTAAAATTAAATGTTTCTGGCAGTAATCATCACATATACCTACTGATAAAAATATACGTAACACATATTCGTTTTTTAGTTGTTTGACGTAACAACTCAATAAGGTTTCCTCTTTAACTTTGTCTAGAAACCCAACATCAAACAAAACGCGAAAAATAAAAAACTAAACAGTTTTACAAACCTGGAACATGTTGTATAAGAGAAAGACGTCAGATTGTGTGTTAACATGTTTAAAATAAAAATTGGTTTGTCATTGACAAAATAAATTGTTCTCTAAGGCAACAAATTGGATTTTGTGATAGGGTCATGTAAACTATTATTAGTATTGTAGTGAAGTTTAACTAACGATCGGATTGAACGGCTTAAATATCATAACTTTGTTATTGTTGGGTTTAGTTTCAGAATTAGTAATGTTGTTACAGCTGTATACTTTACATAAAACAAGAAGACGAGGTTAAAGCGGTTCTTAATCGACCAATAATATACTTTGATGCAAAAAAAATCAACCGTTTACCTATTTTGTAGTCCATGTAACTATGCAAATTTTCCCAACATGATGTATAGGCTCATTATGTTTCATGTTTCCAGCAATACACTAAAAATCTATCGGAATAATTTATTTGCATTGTTTAATGATAATAACGTTTCCAAGTAAAACGCATGAATATTGGTGGATGCATTATGTAAATGTACCTAATGTAATTATTTTACTATCCATCAGAAAAACTAAAATAAATTTAAAAAATCAATCGATGCAGAGCGTGTCTGGCGGTTGAAATCGACTTTTCCGGCTCAGAAAGTAGTGTTAGTCAATTAGATTCGAGTTGGGKTAAAGCAAACAGAACTTATTTAAATACCAAATCATCCTTATTAGCTTTGGGGAGTATCCATTAATGGAACGACAAGATTTGAATTGAACCTCGAGACCTCGATAATAATTAAATCGAATCCGGGCTTTCGTCGAATGTCACGTTTGCCGAACAAGATCTAAACTATTAACGTCTTTTGACAGGATATCGAACATTGCTACTACCATGGGACCGTCCAGGACTATCCCGGAGCCACGGCCGCCTTCCACACGTGCAACGGCGTCAGCGGTGTCATCCACGTGGGCAACGAGACGTTTGTCATCCACCCGTTCTACGGAGGCGACCTCTCGGTCAGTACTGCATCGCAAAAAGTAAGCGAACGGATCTGCCGCCGAAAAGGTGTCGAAATCTCCTCCTTTGAAATATTCATGCTGTGCATGAACGGAAATTAAGGCACGTTCAGTCTGCTCAGGGTCCAGAAGCAATTATAAAATCACCAGATTCATATCCCGGCTATTATCAATTAAAATGCCAATCTCCGGTCAGAAGAATGCGGGGCATAAGGCCGGTCTCTGAGAGTTTTAATAAAACCGCCGGAAAATCGTTGGCGCATATCTACTAAGACGGGTCAGATATATATTTGCATCGATTTTTTTCATAGCAGGTAAAGCAAAAATGACCTATGATGCAACGTTTCAACGGATTAATTAAAATTAATTGGAATAAGTTTTAATGAACACGTCGGTACGGATGTCTGAGGGCTCGGTGACAACTGACAGCCAATTACCCCCGTCCCTTTTCGGCGGTACACCAGCCCTGTTGGAACCCCCTGTCGATAACACGAACCCGATTAAAGCCCGTCGTGCCATCAAAAACTTTTACACCAATCAGATGTTAATTTAGTAACGTCACTACCAAGGACCCAGCTTTGAAAACGAGAACTTTAGCCTAAAGTCCAAGTGCACAATCACATCACCCTGAATTCCTTTTTTATCGTTCATGTCTAATTAAATCAATCAGAAAGGACAAGACTGTAAGTGGTGGCATCTCGGGTCGGGTTTTTGTCTCCGGATCAGAGCAGTCCTGAAGGTCCGTAATTATTCCTTGGAAGGAGTGTTGTTTGTTTTTGCTCTCGTCTACTATCCGCAGGGGATCGGAGATCGCCCAATCGTGCCTTGTCCTGATTATACAAAGATCTGATAAAATTTTGCAAACGGTTACACGGTCACACACCTATTTTATAAACCTCTTACTTAGACCTTTTAATTTAGGTTTGCATTTTAGTTTAGGTTTCATTCATGTGGTTTACTCTTAAATTTTTGTTTATTTCAAATATAAAATTTTTCTTATTTTTTTTTTCAGTTATGTTTAACCGACTATTATGTTTAAAATTTCAAGCACAGTAATCCACCACAAAGTTAATCCAGTAACAAAGATATTATTGGCCAAGGAAGTCTTAGACGAGATACCATAGTATAATCGTTCCCTTACGCCCAATCCATCAATTACTAATTATCTTGTCTAATTATTATTGTTAGACTAAAGCACGGCGGTACCCCTTTCTGTTTTAGAAGTTTTTGGCATAGCTGTAACTGATTTCCTCGACCAATTAGGCCTGAGTGCTCTCTTCATAAATCATGTTCTTTTTGTACTTAAAATCCTTGATTTTTTTAATATGCATCTCATATTCCTCTTCCAATTACAATGCGAATTTTAATCCGATAAGCTGGTTTTCCGTGTGTGRAATTCCGTGAAAACAATGGTATAGAAACAATGAACTGTCCCTTTTATCGCATAATCTGCACCACCATAAAATTATAAAAGTTGTCCGAGAGTTTTGCAGGCGAACGAAAAGGGGCATCGCCGGTCCATTCGACTACTCTGCGCTTGAAGTAGTCGGAATTAACGGCCTAATCCTCTTTTAATGGCCACACTGGCGTGTTTCTAATCAAGGGATTGCCCTGACCCGGTTCGCCCGCCTCAGAAAACATACCCGAGGGACCAGATGCTTAGTTGATTGTCAATTCGAGTTGCGATAGACGGCCATTATTCCGTTTTTAACCCAAACGCATTATGCGAACACTCGAACATGAAACGGACCACCCCCGGCAACTATACACACTGTTTTAAGTAAACATCGATAATTGCCACAATTAAAACCGTCTGACGCTTCCGACGATAAATCAAAACAAACCATTAGTTTGGAATAATATCTGGTTAATAGAAGACAACTTTTCGGAGACCACCGTGTACATAATTATTATCACGATTAATTGCGAGCGTTATAATAATTTAGCAAAGGGAATTGCGAATGTGTGTAGTTTATTAGGCAGTACGCTCTTATCGGGTAACATATTACACGTCCCGGCTCCATGTAAACAGCATTTCTGTTCTGCCAACTCCATCGACGGCAGTGTRAAAGAGAAAACGTTACCTTACCGGATTTCTTTTCACTTTGTTTTCCTATACTACTTATCCGTATATATTGGCTCCAATAAAAGTAAAGTTGCAATATTTAAAAGCCCTTTTCTTCTCTTATATTTATTGTAGCTCTATAAAGACTAAATSGACCGTTACTTTTTTTTATTTAGGTTATCTAGTGCAGTAAAACCGTTTAATATCAATTATTCAAACGTAATTGAGTCTACGACTTTGRAAATCTAAGACCATCTGTGAAGTCGTAAAGCTCGGTCGAAGCAGAAATCGGCGGCAGATCCTTTTTCCTTCTTCCGAACCAAATGTGACTGCACAGCTTCACTATTTTTTAGCAGAAACATCCACACGTGATATTTGAAGCTCGAACAAACGCCAACAAAGGTTGTGCCAATTCGGGCAACATGGAATGGCGTTTGAATACTCACGCGGGTTTCCTTCCGACATCATCGAACATGCGAATAAAACGTGACGTCCGCGAGGCGACCAAATACATAGAAACGGCGATTGTTATTGATAAAGCAATGTTCGAGAAAAGAAACGGTAGCACACGAACAGACGTCGTTCACGATTCGATCCAGGTAGCTAACATAGCCGATCTGTACTTCCGGACGTTGAACACCAGAGTCTCGGTGGTGTATATCGAGACGTGGCAGGGCGGCAACCAGGCCCAAATCAACCGAAACGAAGACATCGGCAGGGCTCTAACCAACTTCAACGACTACACCTCGAGGAAGTTGTTCAAGATTGACAAAGACACGACGCAGCTGCTCACCGGAGAGGTGTTTGTAGGCGGCGAGGCCGGAATGGCGGTCCCAGCCACGGTGTGTACCCCTAAAGCCGTGGGAATTAGCGTAGATATAAATACATACGAACCGCATTTGCTGGCCGGGACTATGGCACACATGATCGGCCACAACATAGGCATGGGACATGACGACGGACGCAAAGAATGTTATTGTAGAGATTGGCATGGATGTATCATGTCCCAGGCGATAGTGGGACTGGACAACATCCAACCCTATAAATTCTCTGAATGTAGTCGTTCTGATTATATCGACAGACTGAGGACCGGAAATGGGATATGTCTACTGAACAAACCCAACGAACTAGAGGTAAGCTCCAAATAAACAAAMTAGTCAGGACTAAATTTAAATCTAAGGTGCGGAGGACATGCGGGAATCGCATCGTGGAAGATGGGGAAGACTGTGATTGCGGAACCATCGACGAATGCCCGAGTGTTGACCCTTGCTGTGATCCAATTACTTGCAAATTGACGACGGAAGCGCAATGCGCCTCGGGACCGTGCTGTGACAACTGCATGTTGAGGCAAAGAGGTGTTGTCTGTCGAGAGCCTTCCAACGAATGTGATTTGCCAGAGTACTGCTCAGGAGACAGCGGAGAGTGTCCGGTGGATGTGTTCAAAAAGAACGGACATCCGTGCGGATACCAGGGTTATTGCTTTAACGGAGTGTGTCCCACTTTGGCTCTTCAGTGTCAAAGTATATGGGGATATGGTGAGTTTCGATCCCGTTTTACCTCATCTTGAAGGCAGGAAACGTTTCCAGGTGGAACGGCAGCCGACGATCAATGTTTTGAAAAGTTCAATTCCAAAGGTTCGATCAACGGGCATTGCGGAAGTGTGGGAAGCAATACGTTCGTGAAATGTGCACCGGAAAATGTAAAATGTGGGACCTTGCATTGCCAGAAGGGTAAAAGACAGCCTTTAATAGGATCGGGTGCGGACCAACCGCCATTCTCGAGGACATTCATCACGATTCAGGGAACGGAGTACGAATGCAAGTAAGTCTCTCAACGGGGAACAATCACGGAATTAGTTATAAACTCGAAACAGATCCATTTACAGATCCTCCTCCGGTGGTAGCGACGATGGCGAATCCCACCGCACTGTCGGTTTAGTTTTGGACGGTACACCCTGCGGAGAAAACCTCATTTGCCTTAATCAAACTTGCTCGAGCATTTTTCCATACATCGACCAAACAAAGTGTCCTACTAACAACAATAACCTCGAGTGTTCCGGTCATGGGGTAAGTGCCAGAAAAAGTGGCGCGTCACACCATACTTATTTATTTACAGTTTTGCACAAATTTGAACAAATGTTACTGCGAACTGGGGTGGGGCGGCCCCGACTGTTCCCTCCAAGTTGAGGTAGCTTTAGCACCAATCTCAACGCGTGCACCCGATACCACGGCGATTGACCTAACGAAGAGCATGCAAAAGAAAGAAACCCCCTACGGTATGTATACGGTTCTCTCGAAACGGTTCGCTCCAGAAGCAGTAATTCGTCCGGAAAAATTACGTATCAGGAGGAAGTGACTTYGATACCCACTGTACCAAGTTCACAGATTAAAGGCTTATTACCCAGATGCGAAAGTAAGACGAAGAAACTCGTTCTGTGAGTGAGATAGCCAATACACAGCAATTTAAATGTCCCAATCGCACTATCGTACTCATTCGTGACTTTACAYTAAACAAAAGTGATGTTATTGGTCGTTTACCCAAGTGACAGTCACGTGTGGTTTGTTTATGTCGTTTATACGTTGATAATTGTTGTTAACACGTACGTATGTTATAAAAAAAGATAAATTTAACTAAAACTTACATTAAATGGTATTAGTGTACATTTTTTTATGTACAGTTTTATTTCGCGGTACTATTTTCACACCACTTCAAAGGGACTGAGCCTTTAAGGTCAAAAAAGTCGTAAACGAAAGATCAAATGAGCCGACGAGAGTTTCGCATCTGGTTAAATGCATTATCCGTGCCGGGGTGTCGAACGTCACTTTCTAGCCTGCTTGTGTACAAACACAGAGCACATGACGGTCGGTTCAGAAATGCCGTGTCATTCGCAGCCAACAACAACTCGGACAACCTGGAAACGCTGACCATGGTGTTCATCCTGGTAGGCGTGGTGAAGGGCGTCTTCATTTGTTTTGCTGTTGTGGCCGTTTGCTACAGGTATATACAGAGTGAGATCCGTGGCGTGATCAAGTACAGTTTGCGCAATGTCCTGTACATAGGCTTTCGTGACGTAACACTATTATCCCATTTATATTCCGAATGTGTTTGCTCTGTGTGTATTGTACAAWATTAACAACGACTTTGATATTAAGTATAACGAAAAAGAGGCTAATCGGCCCGCATTCGTGTCTGTATATTGTCTCATTGGTGCTTTCCTTCTCTCTCTTCGCCTGTGTGTTGATGCATGATGACTGACGTCGCCGTGCGTCGCACCGCTGCCTCCCGTCTCGCCTCCGCTACGCTGCTGGACCTTCAGCGGACTATCACGGGTCCAACACGATATTTCTCGTGGGTACACTCATGTCGGTGGTAGGGGGTGTGTTCATTCTGTTTGCAACTATGGCCCTTTGCTACAGGTCAGTCGTAGTACACAAAAACTTCTCGCTCTGTCTCAGGTTAGTGAGCAGACCATCCAGGTAGCGATCCACGTTCTCAGCATCCGCTCTCGCTTCTTTCGTTACGTTGCGATGCGATCCGTTTTTACTTCTCGTTTGATTTGCCTCTAAGCTAGTTGTGTGTAGCTCTACTACTTCAAGATTCGGTGACGCATCGCCGGCGTCTCGGAACGCGCCKATCCGTCACCGAGCGATATGTGCCTACACGTATATCTGTCTGCGACTACAACACAGATTTACAATGGGCCGCTCGCAGCGTAATTCGCGTCGAACTATCGGCACGAATACGAACTCAACTTGTATTCGAATGCTGTTTCCAGATGGACGGTGTTTATTAAGTATGCGAGCACGTTAATTCGTTCAGAGTGTGAATTATCGGTCGTGCAGATAGATAATATAGTTTCGAGTTGTGATCGCGTCAAATATTAAAATTTCGAATATGGCCATGTCAAAAGCCAATTTGAGTTCGTATTTTACGCCTATGTAATTGACGCAGTCAATAAATGCCCCATCAGGTTGGACGTCGATTTGATTATGAATCGTGTATCGCAACCCCCTCCCACCGTTAATGATTGGGATGCTGCGGTAAAATTGTAAATCTTTCAATCTCTCAACCTCCTAAGCATGCAGCATGCGCCATCTTTTTCAGCTGAACGAATCACCCCCCAACGACAATATCCACGTAAATCAATCGCCTACTCATTATCTTCTACGAGCGACTCGAAAGAGATGTCGTTTGTAGGTGTTTTGTTTCATGTAGCTCGATATATTGCATGAGCTCGGGATTTAATGTCATGTATATATGCATAAGAGTGAGTTATGCAATGTGGGAATGTCTGTTTCTGTCTCTATTAGCCACTGCTGCCTTATGAATGCGAGCAGAGTGTATGCGCCCTTTCTAACCTCACCCCAGAATTCACTAAACTTACACAACACACTTACTTACATAAATTATTCAAGTCACAAACACGCCGCTTCCATAACTGCAAAAGTAAAAAATAAAAACCAGAACTTTGTCACATTTTTTTACTCCAAATAACTGGGCATGTCCTTTGTATTCTTCTTCTTCATGTTCGACACCAGACGCGGTGAGTTAATTCGACTCGAGCCAACCCCCTTCTTAATTGAAAACAGGCGCAGGAAATAACGTAGTCCTTATGACGCCATGATACGTGACCACCTCGAATGACACAATAAAAGAATTGTTCTTAAAGGATGATCGGATCTTAACGAGCCCTAAACGAACTTGTCCATTTTTATACTCGAGTCGAGTTCGCCGCGTCTTGCGAGTTCAATTATTAATCCGGTTCTTCGTTTTCCTCCATTTTTTGTTCGGTTTATGTAAATTAACAACTGGAAGGAAGACGACCGTTCGCAAATATGAAAAACCGTACAAAAAGCCTATTCCGAAAAACTACATCCATACTGCTGGAAACCACTCGCAAGAGGACAGTTTAGATAACGCTAACAAGATCTTGACCTTAGGCGGAGGGGTCGCAACTTTCGGGTAAGTGGTCATCCAGATCCCACGTTTCAGCCATTCAATACCTTGCGTGAATGTCGAATGAATGAGTGTCCATACATTTTTTTTCGCTACTTTGCGTTTATTGCATTWCTTTTGAATGAACGGTCATTTTAGTGATGTACACTGTTAGGTCATTCAGTGGATGTTCATTTAGTGAATGGTTTTTATGAAAAAGCTTTGTACAATAGCACCGTCTCTTCTTGTATGATACATGGGCGGAAGTTCGAGATCTACTTCAAAGTATCGATTTCGAACTGACGCAAAACCTTGCAACAAAAATATTATTGCAACGTGTAGCGTTGGCTTGATCTGCAAATAATATTTTTTCGCCAGTGTTGAGCACTTTTCAGTACAAGCAAAAACACGAGCGATGCAAAACGGGCACGTCATACATTTTGATGCGTTGCTCGAACTTGAATGCTATTCTTTCCGCCACTTGACCCATCCAAGACAAAAACTTAAACGACACACTCCCTTTTCAACAAAAAAACTAAACCTTCATCAGCTTGTACTCAAAAGTGGCATACATCATTTACTAGATATACTAAGACACTACTATTTTTTGTCAGCCGGGCCGATTCACAAAGGGTGTTGTTTCGCTCGTCGAACCACATGGGTGCCGGAGGACCGTCCCAATTCCAGTTAGTGAAATTGATGTGATGGTTACACACTAAATGTTGCATTTAACTGTTCTCTACCACGTTTTATTTTTTTATGTTTGTTTTTATTGTACGTACAATATACGAGTACATTTAACAAAAACTGTGTGCCTTTTTATTTTGATTTTGCACGCTTGCATGCCATCAATGTTACGGTTGATGAACAAGAACAAAAAACTAATCAAAAATATTTATCTGTGTACCGTGAATCTGCAGGGAGCATAAAATGCAGCAGCTTAAAAGAATGGGTGTTGGTGCTACTAGTGAGGATGATCAAGGACACTCCGGTATGTTCAAAATTTTTTGCAAGTTTTATATTTGACGTAAGTATTTTTTATATAGAAGAAGAATCAGTGTCTTTCATCGATTTGCAACACAACAACTTAAAGCTCCCTGAAAAGAAAGGTATCTTGAAAAAACACGATTACTGTTTATCGATGGGAGATGGTGCCCAATCTGAAGAACTGATGAGTCAAGCTGAAGCTAGTATGACTCAACTAATGTCAGGTTCGGGAGCATCTGAAGTTGAACGTACCTTAAAAACCTTAAACGGTTATCATGAAGATATTATTAAAGCTTTAAGGAATGCTGCTTCGCATCGAGGCACATCCACACCTTCCGGAAGCAGTAGTGCCCTTAGTGAAGAACTTTTACGAAGAAGTTTACAGCAATGTGCCGAAAGTTACTCGGAATATAAGAGATGTGGTAGCCAGGAGAAGGTATGTGAGCCACAGGTAGGTCCACATTTCATCATTAGATACATTCGGGACAATGTTTGGTTATTTAGGTTGTCGTGGAAGCCGAAGAAGAAGACGAAGATGAGGTACCGCCATGTGGTCCTATTAGAATTCGTAATTTAGAAGACTTGATCCGTCAACTCGAACACCATTCGAGGCATATGAGTCCTAGCGGTTCGGAGGACATCCGAATGTCGGAAACGGAAGCCGATCGGCATTACCGCCAGGAGTCCTCCTCTGCTTGCAGCGAAAGCAGTCACCAATCCCACCGCGAAAGCAGGTTTGTGTACGGGCGGTACCGGCAGCCTTCCGGACGACTCCCGTACCCCCACCCGCATTCCCACCACCAGGCAGAGGAGGAGAGTATCTACGAGAGTGCGGATCACGACAGAGGGGCTCCTTGCGGAGACACCCCCGACAGCGAAAGGTAAAGCGCGTCGCGGGTTGCCCCGCCCTCTGTTCCCAAACCCCGCMCGTTTGTGAGCAGAGGGTGTCGAGAGTGTCGAGACCACATCCTCGAGCTCGCTACCAATCTTTGGTAGTTCTGTTATACTTATTGTTTTCTAGTGATGAATTTATTCAAGCTCAGCAACAGATGGCCCGATGGGCGAGTGAGGACGCCATGGGACAGGCGAGTGCGAGCGTCAGCGGCGTCGGCGGCGGCGCCGTGCCTCGAGAATACTTCCCTTCACCGAGCAGCTCGACGAGCGAGGAGCCGCCGAGCATCGCCCGAGCGCCTGTCCCCGCCCCAGGGCCCCCTGGCGCGCCGCCCCACCCGGAACACGCCACCATCCACAGACCCAAGCGATACCCCGAGTATAAACACTGATAGTGACTGAAATTACAGGGTAGACTCTCAGCGACAAGCGCCCAGTGACACGACCTGTACATAATTATTGCGTGTGATGATGGTGACTAATCAACGTACGTAGGAAATATTCTAAATCAACGTGTCCAGAGGAGTTCTGCACGATCCGAAAAGATTAACTACTCCGACAAAACCAGAGAGAAATAGAATGGCAGTCTTGCTACGTTATATCATTCGAGCATTTCTCCGTCTATACATTGATACGTGTTATACCTCTACCTGTCTACTTCTGCTGCTTCTTGTTTTGAATTACACGAATTGAACGAATCTGGAGCCTGGCCCGAAAATTCGAATTTAAAAATTGACTCGAAATCAGTATTAGCCATTGTATTTCTTTCTCCGCATATTCGAAATCTCTTTTTACCCCCGTGCAGGGCCTTCCTCGGCCGACTTTGTGTTTACGATACGTCGTCATCGCCAGCTAGTTCACCGCGACGCACCGTAACAACCTTAAAAAAGACTGAAACGTCCTAGAAGACGACGACCTCGCCCCGCATAAAAAATCGCTGGAGTGACACGAACAGTTCTCCCCGTGTTAAGTGTTGTGCAGCCGCATTTTCGGGCTGACTTTTATAGTTGTTGACAATTTGTTTACAGAGAGACACGTGCATTTTAATTAATTAAAACATTGATTAAGAAAATGCATGCATAATTCTAAATCCGTGGTGTGTATAATGTTGGAAGATTCCCGATTTTGCCTTAGTTGTTGGCGCCCTTGCTTCCCTAGCCTAGAACGCTCGAGAGGTGAAGTCCGCCCAAAAAACCTTACAATTAAAGAAATTAATAAAATACAACACGAAATCGTACCACAAGGCGATTTTTTTTATTGTAGTTTGTAAGTTAGTCTCCAGTTTCTCTTTAGTGATACTTCACGGAGGCGAAGGCCTAAATCATCGTACTAAATGCAGAGTGTTATGTTGAAGACAGGTYGATTCGTGTAAACCTAGCTTCACGCGTACGTTACCTACGACACCAACATTATTTTACATTACGCTAAGTTGCATCAATTGAACTGTCTCAGATTTTTGTTGAGAAAATTGTTGAATATTTTTTACGCTCTCCATCCATTTCGGTGAATGATGTACAGTACCTTTCAAAAAATACAGTCGTGAGTGGGTACGTATGTGTAGTGTTGTTCCTGAACGAATTGAGTTAGTTGTTAGATGATAATATTATTCAATTCGTTTTGAGAGGACGTTGACTCTTAAGGCTGCGACCCGTAGCAAGGCTGACATATCTWAACAACAGGTGGCGCTACRGATCGCCCGCTTTAAGAGTCGTGATCTCACCACGACTAAAACAATTCTAAATGCTCAGTAGAAGAAGTCTGCAGAATTTAAAATGACATATGAGAAAAATAGTCCAGCGCAAGTAGTGTGCAAATGTACATAAGAAAAACRTGAGTTACTGGAACGATAGACATTGTTGCGATGTTAATTACAAAACAAATAACAATGGAAAAGTCCGCTCTTATTCTGATTTGGCGGTGCTCATCGGGAAGCGCCGTTAGTTTTAATTTGTTCACATTTGATTTCGATTTAGTTGTATGTGCCCCTTTACGAGTGACGAGAAAGAATCAAACAACTCAAATTTATTTGCTTTTTACACGATACTTAAGTTATAAATAATTAAATGTCAATTATAACGTCCATATTATAATAACCTAAGATCCAATGTGCAATTCAGTTTCTGAACCAAAATAATAATTGTGTAGCTTAGAAATTGCTGTACAATATTCGTTTTTCAGTTATTAAACGGTGAGGAATATAATAAAAAGACGTGCCAAAAACCGATCATTTTACAATAGTACCTAATAAAACGTAAACATCGTTAATCATTTTATGACTAAAATGTGCACAGATTGTTTTATTTTTAACACAAAGAATGGCACAAATTTACCACACACCAGCTGCAATTTAAACAAACCAAAAAGGTAACAAATATTTAGTACCTACATTATAAAGGATACCCGATGGAAAAATTGCTCATTGTTGTATTATTTGTTTAAATCTTGTACCCTCTGTACATAATGTTATGTTTATAATCGAATATCTTATGAAACCTATACTGTATTTAATAAAAATTTATGTATGTTGAAGTTTATTTGTAAGGGGGTAGAAGATTTCAGGGTAATATATAAGAGAAATTTTCACATGTATGCGGAATCACTTGCAAAGTTTTCTAAGGAAAAACAGATGGATGTAAATATAGTGTTACGACGATTTAATCACACTGCCTATAAAAATAAATTAATTATTACCTATGAGACTTTTATTCAAACCTTAAAAAGGAACCTTAATACGCAAATGCACAAAAAGCGTTTCCAATTTTTTTTTATTTATATACTGTGAGTACTTTATTTTGCTGAATATGCATGTCTATGTCCATGGATATGTTGTACTCGTAATTGCTTGTATTCCATTGACATGATGTTTTTTTAATTAAACATAAAATGTTGATATTCAGCGAAATAAAATTTTCACTGTGTTTTCACAGTGAGCGGCAACATTATAGAATAATCTTATTAAAACTGAAAATATTTTGTTTTGGCAAAACAGCTCGAACAAGTCAATTTTCTTTTTAAAAAATACATAATTTTCAACTTGATTTAAATTTTACACTTTTTGGTTTTTGAGTAATGACGTCATCGATATTTTTTTTTWATTAATTAATTATTAAATAGGTACCTATTACATAAAGTTTTCGAAAAAAAAAATACCAAAAAATGAAATAATATCAACAAAAAACAAACATACAATTTTAAACCAATTTGAGAATTTTGTATTTTTTAAAAAGAAAATTGACCTGTTCAAACATTTTTGGCAAAACAAAATATTTTCAGCTTTAATAAAAATAACTCGGAAACATTTTGCTAGATAGAGATTTTTAAATCACTCTGCATATAAATTAAATACAGTGAAATACTGTTCACCGTTCAGAATTTCTTGCATTGCCTTTTTGATTATTTACTTTGATTCTACGAACGTTTCTTATTTTTAAATGTCTCCAAATAACGCCAACATGCTTCGTAAAAAAATTCTTTAAATTTCAAGGGAAAAAACTGATAGTCGATGCCCTACATCTGATATAAAATCTCTTTAGAAATGGATGCTTTGTGTTCACCGTCAAAAATTTAAATCCCTCAGCTCCTTCACCTCATTACCATCTTGGCGTAATCCCCATGGCAACGTTAGTTCGATACTCTCACTGTCAGAGTCACAGTGCCAGTACAATGTTTTGGGGCTTATCTCCAGCCTTAGACCTCCAAGAACAATACTTCAAAGAAAATAAAACCCTCCCCGAGGAACTAAACATTTTACTCGTAGGAGGTGCCGACAGTCGCCACATCCTCCAAACACTAGCGCGTCGTTATAGACACACCACCACAAAACTCAACTTTTTCTTAATGGAAGAAAGTGTTGAAACGATCGCCAAACAACTGCTGCTCCTAAATGTGGCCTTTCAACACCCATCAGTTATGGGTCTCGAACAGAAAGTTAAGTTTTTTATGGAATTGTACGGAAATAGTCTTGTGAGGCCCTCTGTAGCAAAATTCCTTGCAGCTATGGCGGCCCAATTAGTTAAAATGGTGACGGACTATGAATACTTGAAACAAGTAATGCCCTTCGTGACGCTTGAGATCAAATATAAAGAACGTGACTATTTGGAGAACTTATTAAAATTCTGGTGTAGTCGAGACGAATTTGACATTTGCGATTATTGGGATAGACGTTTGAGAAAAAATTTGGGGGTGAGATATGACTCGAAATTGGGGGCTTTTGATTGGGATCTTCACATGAGACTTCACTCAATTGGGGCAAAACAATTGTGTAATCAAGAGTATCGCAATTTTCGACTAAATGGAGTCGCTTTTTCGTGGCTAGAGTCAGAAGTCTCTAAGCCAAACAGATCAATGGTATGTTTGGCGATACCAAATGGGGAAAAATTCGTCCATTATGGGTATTTGGGAGACATGCAGACCGGACCGTTCATATCATTCGGACTAGAATGCGAAGATGAAGTCTATCTCAAAACTACAAATGGCCAAAATTTACACAGAGCCACTGATGTAACCGAACACAATCTCTGCCAAATCTTCCACGAGATACAATACGGAGAAAAATACTCCCACAAAAACACCTCGGATAAACAGTTAGGACCCGTCGTTATGCAAGTTGGAGAAAAACGTGTTATCGATACAAAAATGAACGAAACTCAAAACAACGCCAAAAATAAATGTATCGATTTAGAAAATGTGAGCATTAAATTCGTTTCGTTGTCCCTCCTCAAACTATTGCTACACAAACATGAATACCGCGAATTGTTCCAAATAATTTACTTTGGGTGTTTTTACACCAATCGTTTAAATAAAGATTTAATAGACCACATTTTGGCAAAAAATGGGTTACTTTTGGTGGAAAACCAAAAATTTGTGGTCACACATCGTGACAAACAGTTGCAAGAGTTCGGTGATAACGTCAAAAAGGCCCTGGAAGGTTCTCAAATTAAAGAAATCCGTTTTGACCCATGTAAAGATAACTTTGCAAAGTTTGTGAAGATTTAAAGCGTGTAAGTATATTGGTCTTAATCTCAAGGTGTTAAAAAATAAATTTCAGGGTCTTTAACGATGATGATTTTAACTCTGTCAAGTTTCTAATATTTTCAAGAGTTAACACATGAAGGAAGTTATAATTGTATTCATTGTAAATAATAAAAAACCATATAATTACAATTCTTTTATTTAAATAATACAAAATGAATATTTAAATAAGTCAACGACTTATTTGTTTCTTTTTTGAAAACTTATTTTGCATAACTCCAACTTGTTTCTTCTTAACTTTCTTAATCTTCTTGTTTASTTTCACACTAGCTTCTTTCGGGATTTTTTCCCAATCGATTTTTTTACTACTTTTCACAATCTTCTGGGCCGGACTCGACATTTTATTCTTCAATTGGTTTTCATTTGCTGAATTAACTTTCTCTTTCTTCGGTTCTGCCTTTCTATTTTTTACCTCCTTTTTCTCCTTAACATCATCTACAACTTCATGATGTTCTTGCTTATTCTTCTTAATATTTCCATTTTTCTTCATTTTCTTCGATTTCATCTCTCCTTTCATTTTTTGATTTTTMGTGYTAACTTTCTCATGAAGAAATTCCTTCTGTTCTTGTTGATTTTTTTTAATTTCTTTACTTTCGTTCACTTTTTTCGACTGTGTTTCTCCATTTTTTTTCTGTTTTTTAGTATTAACCTCTTCCTCCACTTCCTCCTCCTCTAGTTCTCTTTTTTCTCCTTGTTCCTCTCCCGCAGTCGYAGGTATTAAATTTGAGAATTTCCTGAATTTTGCAACAAAAAATCCGTCCATATTATGGGTATGTGGGTAAAACCTCCTCGTCAATTTCAAACTTGGGTGAAATCTGAACTGTCTATAATTCGTAAACCCTTCATTCCCGAATTCCAATCCCGTATCGACCAATTTAACATTCCTCTTTTTCAAGGCATAATCAACCACCCATTCGTTCTCTTCCGGTAAAACCGAACATGTCGAATAAACCAAATATCCCCCAGTATCCGATTTCGCATTAAGACAATCAATAGCTGCCAAAAGYAACTCCCTTTGCAAATTATAGCATCTCTGAATATCCTGTTCGTCCTTACTGGTTTTGACACTTTGGTCTTTTGCGACAACCCCTGTTCCAGTGCAAGGAGCATCCAAAAGGACTCTATCGAATCCTTTCAGAATTTTTGGAAACTTCCGACCATCTACGCACGTAATGACCGAATTAACAACCCCCAAGCGGTGGAAATTCCCGACAATTGCTTTGATTCGTTCATTATTAACATCATTAGCAAACAAAACTCCTGTATTTTTCATCAAAGCGGCGATGTGTGAGGCTTTGCCCCCGGGAGCCGCCGCCATGTCTAAAATCCTTTCGTTTTCTTGCGGCGCGAGTGCCATGACTGGTAATAAACTCGAAGCGCCCTGAATAATGTAATGACCGGCCAAATACTCCGGAGTCGCCCCAATGGGAACTTGAGAAGAATACACAACAAGGCCCACTTTACTCCATTTCCCTACAGGGTCTAAATTAACCCCTCTATTAATCAAAGCTTGAGCTAAATCGCGACGACGAGTCTTAAGACTGTTAGTTCTGATAGTTAACGGTCTTTGAACTTCACTTGCTTCCAAAAACTCCAAAAGTTCGTTCARAGGAAAGAGTTGCATAAATTTCTCCATTAAAAACTCATTGTAACTGTAATAAGTGCAAAGGTCGGATTTTAACATTTCTAAATAGTCGGAACGTGAATTTTTCTCATCGCGGAGTTTATTAAAGTCAGAAAGGACTCCAATGACGTCACGAATACGTTGCTGTACTTCCTGCAAACTTGTAGTTTCTTCACGTTCTTTCTTTGATGGTAGTTTAAATTTTTCACTGTCTGCAATATTCATTTGGAGCTCTTCTTCAGCAAGTTGGTCCTCCTGTTCTTGTTGCTGTTTAAGTAGCTTGTTCTGCTTTTCAATTGGGAGAAGATCGTCATCGTCGTCATCTTCAGAATCATCAGAAACATCATTCAACGTCCCTACTTTAAAATTCTCTTCTTCACTCTCCTCACTAGTATCATCAGATTCAATAACAACTTGTTGCCGCTTTGGCTTCAACCAGGATTTATTATCGTCAGTAAAACCAGCCTTGTCTTCCTCATCAGGCAGAACTTTGGTGTCATTTTGATTCACAGAAGGCTTCAACCATACTTTTCCATCCTCCTGCTCTGATTCACTACTTTCCTCATCTGTGACTTTTGCGATGTCTTTATTCTTGATTATCCTTTTTTTCAGACGTTGCTTCTGTCTGTGACTCAACTTTTTCGCTTCAGAGTCACCTAAAAGTTCGATAAGAAACATAAAAATTGAGGTTTGTGTTTTTACCATTGAGTAATGCTTTTGGAAACGTTGGGTCCTTTTGTTTTTTCGCCTTTTTGCCTGGCCCTCGTTTAACAAGAACACCTTCGGTGTTAAATTTTGCTTTTCTGCCCATTTTACTGATTTACAAAACACACGTGCTACATTTAAAACCTACTAAACACAATTTTTAGGTTATAGATATTGACGTTCAATGTGACCAACTCGTAATTTAAGTTGGTACCATTTTCGAGCCAACCCATTACAAGGCGGTAAATCAAATTAATTCTTTTCAAAATTATTAAAACCTTAACAAAATAATAAAATATTTATTGAATAAATACTTAAATATAAATAGATATTTTTGATCTTATAAAGATTTATGGACTAGATCGCCTAAAATACCACAAATTGTTGTCATTGTCGGTCTCTCTTTTTTATCTTTTAAACAATCCATTGCAATTTCGAATAATTTCTCTCCAAAGTTAATATTATTCGCTAGCCATGAGCCGACTGCGATGTCCAACAACGGTTTAATACCGTTCTGACAGTTTTCTTGTATATGGGTCACCTATAAAATCATGAAAATAAAAACAAATAAATAAAAAACTTTTGTTTATGTAAAACTAACCAGATCGACACCTTCTCGACTTTCGTCCATTGGAGGCATTGAAGTTAACAATTCAAGCARAACGACTCCAAAACTAAAAGTATCTAATCTTACTGAAACGTCTCCCCTGAAAGCTTCAGGCGCCATATATGCTGAAGTCCCAAAAATCGTACTTGCTGTGTTTGTGTTTTGGTTTAAAGCACGTTTAATCAGGCCAAAATCGCACAACTGAAAAAATKTATAATTATTATTGCAACATACAACAGAAGCAAACCTTTGGCTTATTGTTACTATCAAGTAAAATATTCGCAGTTTTAATGTCTCTATGAATTAAGGGAGTGGCGTACGCTGTGTGTAAATATGCAATCGCCCTCGCTGTCCCTATAGCAATGTACAGCCTTTCCGTCCAAATCAATTCGTGTTTCTGAAATAAAAAACACAATAAATAATTCAAATTTCGCAAACACTCACCTGCAACCGGTCTTTCAAAGCCCCTCCTGGGACGTACTCATACAACAAACAATAAGTGTCCCCATCACACGAATAACCTCTCAAAGCTACCAAATTTTCATGTTCATATTTGCTCAAAATCTCCACCTCGTTGCGAAACTGTTTAGTAACCATATCATCAACTCGAACGACGTCGACATTTTCCAAAATGACTTTTTTCACTGCGACTGGTTTACTAGTCAACCCCACACCCAAGTAAACTTTACCGAAAGCTCCAGAACCCAGAAATCTCCCACCCTGAGCCAAAGGTGTCTCGTCGAAATTATTAGTCGCTGTTGCTAAATCACAGTAGGTGAAGTGAGGCAAAGGAGTGTTCAACGACAAGTTTGGTAGAGGAGACGAACAGGAGCGCGAATTTTTAGAAGTAGATTTATTTTCCGATTCAATTAATTGACTTAAAGCGGGGAAGTTTGTCGAAGAACCGGAATTTGAAGAGAGACTTAATTCGCTGATTGCAGGCAAGTTGAAATTAGGTTCAGAGTCGTCACTTGACTGATTCAACAGTGACGACAAATTCGGTCTGTTGACCACAGAATTGTTACTCTCAGAAGCAATGGTTTCTGAACTTAATTCTGACGACGTTATGTCGGCAATTACAGCAGGAATGTTATTATTGGAAGCCTCATCGGTCAAAAGTGATGACAAATGCGGAACATTTGCGTTATTATCGCTATTTGAAACCGATTCTTGTGAAAATTTAATCAAATCTGACTCTGACTTGATTTTTTCATTTTGGATAACGACCGGTAGACGGAACTGTGGAGGTGTCTCTTCCATATCCGGTGATTCACTAATTATAATTTTGGGTATCACTTTCATCGTCTTTTTGGTACTGTAATTCAAATTTGTGTTAATTGAGTTCAATTTGTTTATATTCTCAATTGCAGAACTGGGGTAATTAATTTCGTCCAAAATTTTCTCGATTCGTTTCGTTTCCGGGTCTTCTAACTCGTCAGGGTTGATTACAACTGGAGCCGCAGGCCCTTTGGTAGGTCTAGGGGGCGGTTCCTGCTTTAAAACATCAACAGCAATATAATCAGCCGCTCGAAATAACTCTGCTCTCTCCAAAAGGTACTTCAGATGACCTACAGCAGGCCTAACCCGTCCTGAAGTGCCCCATTCACGTAACAAAATTTCAGAACAAAAAATTCGCTTCTTAATTGAATTATCTTCAATTATGCTAAAAATTTCTACATTTTTGGCATACAACAAAAAATTTAGAATCGAAATACTCACTGGAAGTGTTCGGAACGATACTTGGCCGGATTATTGTGACTTATATCGCATTTGTAATTATTTAACAACAATGTTTCTGGTATCATGGCCATTAATTTTTTCCATGAATCTTGCAATTCCAGAAGACTTATCAGACGGGAACGGATGTCCAAAGGTAATTTTCTGATTTCAAGATCCATTTTATTTGTTGTTCGGACGGGTAATTAAGGCACTTTATTTCCAAATAAAAAAATTAACCTATAAACACAGTAGTATTTGAAAGCCAAAAAGCCACTGGTTTACTGGTTTTAATGAAAATTCCCTAGTAAATCACTAGCTACACAAGCGCCTCTGGTACTCAAGTGCGTCACTAATGGAAACATGGCGAAACCGAACTTACACGAATCGCGCAAAAGGTATTTGCCCAAAATATTCTGTTTCCGATAGTACTTTTGCGGACAAATTACTTTGGTCATCATTTTTCCATCACTTCAAAAAAAAAACATGTAAATCAAACAATTAAAACAATTAACGTCAAGTCAACATTGATGTCAATTTCAAATTATTGACTTTTCTCTAATAAAAAATATGGCACTTTACACTGTTCAAAAATTCAGAGTCGTCTCCCATGCTTCTGAGGGATTGTCCATGGGCCAAATTGCAGAAAGATTATTGTCAACAAGGGGCGAAGAACGTTTTAACAATTTTAAATTTTGACGATAGTTGACATCCGTAAAAAATAAGATTTACCATTCTAATGTTTGCTTTAGAACATTATTAATTATTTTACTTAAGTGACAGTGACCAAAGCACTGATTAGCTAGTTCCAGTTAATCTATGACCAAAGTATACAATTTGTCCGCAACTGTAACCTACGTACAGTTGAGGAATTTAAATTTCGGGCAGTATTGTTCCATCACTTTAAAAAGTTCACTATAAACTACCCTTTATTGTCATCATGAATTCATGACTGACATTTGACAATTAAACTTTTTTTTGTTGTTAAAATTGTTAATTAAAAAATTTGTCTGTCTTAAGAAATTTATTAATTGAACTAAGTGTAATTAAATCATCGCTTTGATCTGCTGCCTACCCGTTTTTATGCCACAAATCACTATTTTTGAAAGTAAATAAGTCAAAATGTCATAAACATGACAAGAGTAAAAAATGAGGTTATTAATGTAAAGGTTGTTTTAGAGTTTACATTATGAAAATGACAATACTGCTCGAAATTTTARTTCCGCAACTGTACCTTCAGCTCTCTTCTTTGGGCTTGACCCAGCAGGTAGATCGATGGTGTACCTATGTATTGTTGATGACGTCATGTCAATTATTGACGTCATTTTTGAATAAAAGGGAAAGAAACAAAAATTTATTTTATTAATCATTTATTTATTTGTAAAAAATATCTTTCTTCCATTTATTACTATTAGTGTCAATTAAATAAAACTGCTGGCGAAAATTTCTAGATACCAACCAATCGCAAAATATGGCTCGGACCATGATTACAAGGAATCCCAGGAAAAATTTGTCGGTTTTAAAGTAAATAAAATAATTTTGTTATCCCAAAAGCCCTCGTGGGAGTGCGCCCCCGGCGCCTCCAAATAATACACCAAAGTCGTTCGCCCACTCGGGTAATTAATTAGTCGTGATCCAAAATCCAAAATCTCGTTTATTATTAAACAAATATACAGGATGCGCCAGAACTCGCGCCCCAGTGAAAAATTTCAAGTAAGATAAGATACCAGGAACATGGAAAAAATGTTTAAAAAATTCTATCTGTCAAAAAATATTAATAGCCTGTAGCAAAAAGACTTGGAAAATTATTTTTCTAACAGAAATAAATAGAGTCAAAGTGTAAACTTTAAACTCTCATAACTTCGAAATTTTTATAGATAAAATTTTTTTAACTTTTTTTTCCATGTTCCTGATATCTTACCCTATATGGAATTTTTCTCTGGGGCGCGAGTTCTGGAGCACCTGTATATGAGAAGTATCGATAGCTACGGCACAAGACATAATTTCATTGATTATAAAATGATTTTATACATAATCAAAATGTTATGAACACATCCATATGATTTTGTTCTGTAAACCTCTATTGTAACTAATATTTTTGTCTAAAATTTGTTTAATTATGACTAATTTTAATAATTTATTATACAAAGGTGTCAGGAAAGTGGTGCACCTCCTTGAAAGGGAGTAATCAGGTAGTCCCCCAGAGTACTAAAAAAATGTTCAAAAAACTCTATCTGTCAAAAAAAAATTACATTTATTTTTTGACATTTGACATTTTTTTATGTCTATTTAATGATACTGATTATCTATATGTTTTTTTTTATAATTATTTAGTAAAGGTACAGAAATTTTACCAATAGAAACCACAAATAACATTAAACAGAGTTACAATTTAGGATATAGCTTTCTTGTTTCCTCTTCTAAAAAGCTGTAGCAAAAAAACTTTAAAAAAATATTTTTCCAACAGAAATAAATAGAGTCAAAGTGCAAAATTTAAACTCTCATAACTTCGAAATTTTTATAGATATAATTTTTTAAACATTTTTCTTGGTGTCTAAGACATTGTCCGATGTGTCACGGAGGTGCGCGACTTTTCGGACTGCCTGTATATTGATTATGAATCTAAAAATCATTGTTTCTTTTCTGAATGATACGTCCCGAAAATTGGGATGCATGAAATAATTTTGATTATAATAATTTTTTTTTGTTTTGTACTTAAAAATTAAATTGTTCTGAATACGCCCACATAGAAGTTATTAAATAAAAATTAAAGTCTGTTTTTTAATCAAAATTGTTTTAAAGCTTAGTGTTACGGTCACAATTATTTTTGCAATTTATTTGAAATGAGCTTGCAATTGATGCAAGTTTTAAATTTTTTAACAAACAAATACAATTATTTGAAGTCAAAACTCACTTCACCTTTAGTTTCAACCTTTCAACAACTTTTTCAACCTTTCCCTCAAATGCGGAGCAACCATCTGATACCCTTATTAACTTCTTTCACTCTCATTCATTATTATATTGTATGTATTGTATACTCATCATTAAACTGCTAAAAATCAAATAAAAACTTCATTTCTAAAATTGTCCCAAAATTCCTTAGGCCCTTTTTTATATCCGTTTAATAACACATTTTAATAAAATAAATCACAACCGGGAACTCCTAACCCTTTTTATTCAAATTACTGCAAATGAGTTTGCTAGTGGTACCAACATTAAGGCTAAGACAGTTCCATTAAAAAAGACACTTTAATTTAAAAAAGTCGCCCCCTCTTTTCACATTTGACATTTCCCATAGACCACGTAAACGGAGGATGTGCATCTGGGACCCGAAAGGGCCACCACGTTCATGGCGAAGGCGATGTGAAATATGAGATCCCCGGCGCGCCCACGTCGGCCCCGCCCACACACCCACGCTTCATTCATGCGGCCCGGGCCAACTCCTGCATCCTGCAAACCGCCCACGTGCTATTTTCTCGCGTACTCCCTTTTCCTGCACCAGCGCACAGAGACGAATCGAGTTATCAACCGCAGCAGCAGCAGGACAACGACGCACACACCTCGCCTAATCAACTTACCTATAAAAACAAAAAACTGCTGCCATTTTTGACCCATGAAGAGTACCTGCCACGGGAAAACCCAGTTGCACACTTCCTCCGGATTTTGTAAATAAAATCCCGTCTYGAGGAATGTGGATCAAACTTAAAGTAATCGATACTTCTTTAGAGTAAAACCAGGTTAAATGCAACAATTGCAATGTTCGTTGGAGAGAAATGGCACAATGGTGGATGCGCCGGGAAAAAGTTTATACAGTGGGTGATTTTTAATGAAGGGATTTCGACTTTATGCTTGTTTTATTGCAACAGTCCTGCTTTGTTTTTGGATTAGATAAGATCGTTTTCTGTAATAATGTTACTTAATCTACTTTTAACGATCTCGTAAAATTAAAAATAAAACGGGAAAAAGGCACAAAACAGATATTTAATTACTTACCTACTTAAGTGGATTTTATACACTAAACAAATATTTGTTTTTAGAAAATTTATTCGACGTGACCTTTATCTGCTAACTCATTGCTAGGAAAAATTCTGTTTATCTCACAATTTAACTTTAACTTTTTCTATAAAGTCACCTAGACACGTGGAGATCACAGAGGAATGGAGTAAATAATAAAGTTCGCTTGTTTATTCCACGTTYAAAATTTTATTTTTTAATTTTGTTATTCAWTTGCTCTTTCTACCTTTCCGATATATTCAAAAGAGTTAGCAGAATTGAGTTGGTTTATTCGCAAGCTATTTACCCGAAAAACAAACCACCACTGTCCACACTCACAATCAAAAAAACTAAAATTCAATAAATATGTATAAAGATATAATAAAAAAACAATTTGGATTTGGATGATTAGTATTAGATTAGTAGTAGTATTAGTAGGATTATCACACAATCGAAAATTAAAATAATTAAATTTCAATTCTAAACTAAATATTTTTTAACATAATAAAGAAATACTCCTAAGTTGCAATAATATCAAGAGTATTTATTTTATTGAGCAATTCAATCTCTCAGTGCGTTCACTGAGAAAAACATATTTTCCTGTTGAGGTGAAAAAAATTGTTTAAAACAATTAAAATGTTTACATAAACCAAATGCTACTTAATTAAATATGATTCAAAGTGAATTATTAATTTTTTTGTTTTAAGTGTAAGTGGACAATGGTGGATGCGCCGGGATAGTTTGTTGAGGGTGTTTTTATAGAAGAAATCTTACTTTTTATTTTAGATTGAAAGATGCAAATAATTTTTGTACTGTTATATTTTTCCGACTTATAAATTTATATATAAAGTACATATTCGTTTTATAAATGTAAACCAAGAACATTATAAAATTGAATAAATCCCCTACTTTCGTTAATTTGTTTATTTGAATAATGGTTTCAATAATATATCGAAATAAATAATAGTTTTTTTGTTTATCTAATTAACATTAATTTTCCTATTTAAAACAATGCTGATGAACAATGTAGAAACGATGAGTGAATAATAAAAGTTTTTCGTTTCGTTTTTGCTCTTTTTTTGCTTGATGATGACCGTGAAGGAACGCATGAACAAACGAACGACAATTATAATAATACGTAAACCTCGAAAACCGAATGAAAAATTCGCGATGAAAAATGTGTTAGTGACGCCGTAATAAATAATTCACTCGCACGACGAAGTACCCGGAGCTGGTGGCTCGTCTGATGGAAGTGATGAGAATTATCACGTATTGCATAATAACACCGGAGGCCGAATGATAGGTTCGCCCCTCCGCTCGGAAGTAGGGCAGTGTGCCGTGACAGGAGTGCGTCCTCCCCTCGCAGGAGTCAACGGCCGCTCGACCCGGCCGCTCCCGGCCCGCCCCACGACTCAGATTTCGCAGTGCAGTTTCCCGTTTTCGGAACCGTGCACCACCAAGACGGAGTCCCGGTGGTGCACCAACGATCGATGGGGGCCTCCGGAGGTGGGTCGGCGGCGCCCCGCCCGTCCTGTCAGCTAATCACCCGGAATTTTGCAATTTTCTCGTGGTTTACAGGTTGATGGCAGTGGTAATTAGATTTTAGAACATGTTTGGCGGAGGATGGACTCGACGTCGTTTGTTCTTTCTTTGCCTGCCTGGGACGCGTCCATCGACCATCGATGCGATTCCGCTCCGAGGCACGCCTCAACAAGACAAGCGGCGTGCGAACGGACCGCGAAGCCGAAACGCACCCCCAGATCGAATTCCAAAGAAAATTTTTTTTCAATTTTTTTGCACAGTTTTTATTCACTTTATAATTAATTTATCTAATATAGACCTACGTTTGCTTTCCATTCTCATGAAAAAATCACCAAGTGTCCCAAATTGATTCGCCCGTTTCACCCCCCAACCCTATTCTTTTTTCTTCAATATTATATATACTTAATTACAATAATATATATAATATATATCGCGCTCGGCAATATCTTATCACAACATACCCGACCGATGGTGGTTAATGATTACAAAAACAAAAGGACAATTGAGCAATATACAATCAATCAATCATCGAGTAACCCAGTTATAAACATCTCAAATATCCTAAACAACTTCCTCTTATATACTTATATAATATATTTTATATAAATACTGAATCATCATCTCTCATCTAAGTGACCTGGGCTAATAATTTCTTAAAAATAATTAACTTTAAATTGGCTAAGTACTCGTACAATCCACATAATTATAAAAAGTACAAAGCGTTTATATATAATCCTAGGGGTCCCCCGTGCGGCTAAAGCCACGTCCACGGTGGATAGTTGAGTGTAATAATGTTATAATGAGAGTCATCATGAGAGAGTCCTGCGACGCGTTTCGCGTACTCGCGCGCACAACAAACAACCATCTAAGCGAATAGTTTTATTATTTATAAATGATTTACATGATTAACAAGGATACCTATACAAACACAATTTTTCATGTTCTTTTGCATCAGTATTCGTGTGTAATCATCGTCGGTGACTTAAAAACTCGTTTAAACGAACGAATCGAATCGCACCGATCGAGAATCGATTGTCAACCCTATACAACTAGTCAAGTCGTGTCGTTAATTTTGTTTTCCTATGTTTTTTTCTTAATGATTTTTTTGTGGTTTTTCTTTTTCTCATTTAATTTCCAATAGGTATCAATATTTTTTGTTTTTTGTTTTTTTAGTTTATTAGACTACGAGACGGTGTGGCAGTCGTCGCCCCGCACAACTCGCAACGCGTGTTTTAAGAAGGATCGATCACCATGGCAAGTCAGTACGGAGTACGGTTTACAAAGTTCACATCCGATATGTGATATTTTGCACCTGTGCTTATTACTAGAGTCTGCTTTTGTGCATTATGACATTGGCAGTCGTTAGCTGTCAGTTCACAGCCTGTCTTCTTCCTCTTCTTCTTCTTCTGCCTCTTCAATGACCCCCTCGTTCTCTTCCTTATAACCTGGATGTTCCGAAATGGCATAATAGTTGCCGTTGTAGATGACGCCCAATTCGCGCAGAACATCGCCGCGAATCGTCGCTTTGATGGTCCAGTTGTAGCAATCGTCGCTTTCGCTCTCTCGATCTAACCTTTCAACGTCCAAAATTTTCGAACTGAGCCTTTCGAGTATGATCCCGATATCCTTGATGCTCAGATGTCTTTTCTGATCGACGCTCAATTGATCGATCAACAGCAAAAATTTTTCAGAGGTGACGGCCTCGTCCTCCATCACGGTGTTCTCCGTTTCGCTTTCGGAGCTCTCGTGTTCGGACTGTCCGCCGCCGTGTCGGCCGCCACCTTCAATGTCTAAAAAACGCACGTGTCTAGATGATGGCGGTTGTGGTGAGGTCTGCTGTTGAGCATCTTGAATCGGAGACGTTGCTACGCTTTTGTGCACGGCTATCTTCCTACCCTCCTCGTGTAGGGCGCAACAATGAAAGTCGCATTCGATCGCGCCGTTGCTCTGGGGGCTGCCGGCGCGGGGCATGTGAGCGTGATGGGCGCACTCGGGCGTGTGGATGTGAATGGTAGCGCTTTCCAAGGAGCTGCCCTGTTTGGACAGCCGATGAACGGGTTTAACGTCGTCGTGGTTTATCACAGTGATCTGAGGGCTGGAGTAGCGAGGTTGGGGCTGGCCCGGAGGCACGTACACATCATTGATGAGGGTCTCCTTCTTGCCCCCCACGGATGTCTGGATGACAAGCGAGGGCCGCTTGCTCGGCGAGAACTTGCCGGGGGCGGGCGACGGCGTCTCCGAGGAGGTCCTCGTAGGGGCCGAACGCTGGTCCCAATGAAGCACGACGGTGACGCGGCCCTTGTTGTCCATGATCTTCCACGAGGGCGTTTCATCGTGCAACTCCAGAGCATGAATCGTTTCGCACACGATCTTCGGGATCGCTGAGATGGCTACTAACAGACACGGCCGGGGGTCACACGCGCTACCCGGAGGAACCTCTACCTACCTGCTCGGATCACGTCCACGCCGGCAGGCAGCCATCGCTCGCCCGGTCTCAGCAACAGAAGGATGGTGTTGGCAGGTAGCGTCCGAAAGTACTCGGCGTCTTCGACCTGGGTACCGTCGCTCTCCAACACCAATCGCACCGGCTCTCCGATGGAGACGCCGAGCTTGTCTCTTCCGCGCTGCACTAGCTCGTCGAGGCTCCCCACCACCAGCCCCTTGCGCACACTACGACGCCCGTCCCATAGCTTGAAGGGTCTCTTTCCGCGGGATTCCTGCAACACACCCATTTCTTATGAACGAACGCCAAAGACCGACAACCGCTCAGACTTGTGCACTCGACCGCATCCCGACCAGACCTGACCTACTCCACACCTACCACCCTATCTGGCACCTAGTTGCCGTTCTAGCCGCTCGTCGCGCGCTCCACTGCCCACCGAAAATTACCGACACAATCAGCCACACTCCCCCAACAAAAAAAAAACGCATTCAAAAATTATTCCTCCTCCTCCTCCTCATCATCATCACCATCATCTCAACCATCATCATATTATAACTATACCTCTCTTGCCATCACGGCATCTCTTATGGTGCGGCCGTCGTCCCGCCGCTGGTCCGCGCACTCCTCTATGGCACCGGCACTGTCACTAAACCACGGCACCGCATATTCTCAGCCCAATCCGTCTCTTTTTGTCCATTCTCGACCAAAATTCAATCGGACTATCTGTGACCCCTACAAGCAGCAACCCTGCAAACTGCCCCGACAAACGCGCCCCCTAGCGTCCGATCGATTACGTTGAAGGTGCGGCGCGGCGCCTAGCGTCGCGCATCGCCACGCGCATTCTTGCCCACTGATGGAGTGGTAGGCGGATAGCACCTGCGCCCACAAGAAACCTCTTCGTCTTTCACACTTTCACAAAACTTTTATCACACCGACACTTTGAGCTATCCGCTATAAATGTTCTTTTCTCCCACACACACACAACCAACACCAAAAAAATACTTTAAGAAAAAAATAAAATAACAAAAACCAAGAAAAATAACAAGAATTACAAGATCTGAGTTGTTTCTAATATTTATTTATTAAAATTTACTTACATACTTATTACATAGCATATCCATTATCTAATTCTAATAAATTGATAGAAAAAATAATAATGCAGCTTTTATTTAAGCTTTGTTAACTATTTATGTAACATAATTTTAAATTTACACTAAACTCTAAATTAGAAAAAATTACATGCCTACAAAAAAAATAAAACCAAAATCTTTATCGCAAAAACTTTGAGTAGGTATATTTTGAAAAAAAAAGTATTAAAAATAGGCGAAATTTGCGCAATCGCCACCTGTTCTTACCGACCGAGTTTGACAGTTACCATATGTTGCAAGTTGCAATGTTGACAGTTCCCAATAAAAACATCTAAAAGGTGTATCGGAAAATTCGGAATTGATCAACCGAGAAATGGATATAGACAAACCGAAGAAATATAAAATCTGCGTCAGTAAACATGTGAGTAACTCATGAGCAGCCTACCGAAACCAATTGGCTCCGGGGCAAGCCAAAAATTTTACCACAGTACCAAGGTACCTCCTGCTCACGCTTTTGAACTGTCTCTAAGACTCAAGTTCCAGGACCCCCCCTTGTTTTTTATTATGATGCGTTTGAACGTAAAAGTCGCATTGTTGTTTCTGACAACGATCGGTTTCTTCACCGTTTTGATCTTATGGTCGGTTTGCGGCAAAGAGCCGAAAAATTTGCAAGACTGGAGGAGGACTGGTAAATTCAGTTTGGACCGATTGGCTGAATTGCAGAGTGCTGAAGAAATAGATTGTGATATAAATGGCGAATATGTCATAGGTTGTAGGAAAGAAGGAGACGAAGTCTACCTACCATTCTCGTTTTTGCATAAGTATTTCGAAGTTTACGGAAAGTTAGCCACTTATGATGGTTTGGAAAGGTTTGAATGGTCGCATAGTTATAGTAAAGTTTATCACCCAAAAGGGAAATATGATTCTCGTGGGGTCTTCATGTATTTTGAAAATTATAACGTCGAAGTGCGAGACAGGGTGAAATGTGTAAGTGCGATCGAGGGAGTTCCTATTTCGACTCAATGGGAAAGTCAGGGTTATTATTACCCAACGCAAATCGCCCAATTTGGGCTATCTCACTACAGTAAGAATCTCACAGAGCCGGAACCAAGGCGGAAAATAATTGAAGATGGCGAGAGGGAACTGGCGAAATGGGTAGTTCCCCATCCCGGTACTGTCGAACGGGTCAATGACAAAACCGCTGGCAGCAAAGTGTTAAGATTCAAAACCGGCGAACTTTATTTAGACGCCATCAAGCTGAAAATGGAGCACGTACTTGATTTTATAATGAGTCTTAATATCGTTTTAAGCGGCAATAGTAGTTTTAGTGTCGTTTTACAAAATCGGGAATCTCGCGAGATTTACAATCTTCACTATATCACCTCCGATATACTCATCACGGTGCAGGTGAGTCGCAAAAACAATTTTATTGCGTTTGACACTTTTGCTTCAGGACAATAACGTGTACCACGGACTCGGTTTAAACCAAGAATGGAAAAAATTAACCCGCGATCTCATCGTCGACTTACAAAAGGGTTTAAACTACCTCGATAAAGACAAATCTAAGCGCAAGATACCAAAGTCAAAGCTGAAGATAATTACAATTTTATTACGGGGTTATGGCGCCATCGACAATCTCACTTTATCATCTTCCGAACATATCCAACAATTTTATGACGCCGCCGAATGGTTTGTGAGACACCAAGACACCGAAACTGGAGGATGGCCTATTCCGGTCAAGAGAAAACTAGCTTCAGGTTTCCACGACTTGCAATCAGGTATAAATCGAAACATATTTTGTGTGTTTATTTTGTAAATGTTGTTAATCTTTTTCTAGGTTGGTACTCTGCAATGGGTCAGGGCCACGCAATTTCTGTCTTGTCCCGGGCCTACCACCACTCTGGTGGAGACACTCGCTACTTACAGGCAGCTCTCGCAGGTCTCAAACCTTTTCAAGTACCAAGTACCAAAGGAGGCGTCCTGGCGACGTTCCTCAACAAGTACCATTGGTATGAGGAGTATCCCACGAAACCGGCATCTTTTGTCTTGAACGGTTTTATTTACTCTCTTCTCGGATTATACGACTTGATGACCATAGCCCCACCGGGGCAAGCAGACGAGGCCGAGTTTCTTTTCCGAGAAGGGATGATTTCCCTAAAAGGAATGTTGCTGTTTTATGATATGGGTAGTGTTACTTCGTACGATTTGAGACATGTGACGCTAGGTGTAGCCCCGAATTTGGCTAGGTGGGATTATCATGCCACACATATCAATCAGTTGTTACTTTTAAGTACTATCGAGAATGAGCCATTGTTTGCTCAAACCGCCGAAAGATGGATTGGATATATGGCGGGAAAAAGAGCAGCCCATAATTGAATTGTTTATTTCAATGGTTGTGCGAAACTTGCAGCGTTTGTCGGGTATTTTTATTCAGTATTTTTTTGACTCTTCTTTTAATTTTTGTGCCATATTCAAAGTATTTACATCGGAATATTCCGTTCTTTGTTGTTTCTGAACTACCATGAAATGGTAGTTGTTGCGATTTGTTTGTTGTTTGAATGGACCAAATTAGCTTCTTCAGAGTTTACGTTCGTTGTTTAGTATTAAGTTTTTCGGTACCTTGTTAGGCTTGAAGTTTAAGATTTTATACGTTTTTTACCTATACTTCCGACTAGTGTTCTAAATCTATGCGAATTCAACAAATTAATAAAATTCAATTAAAATGTTGTCTATAACAATATCGGCTGACAATCTTAGAAAGTAAAAAATTCTCTCGCATAGATTTTAAACTACTCATTTTTCGACGTAGATCAATATTTCTTCAAAGACTAAATAGCGGAATAGGAGAGTCAATTATAGAAAGTAGTGTAAAAAAGTTGTACATTAAAAATGGAACTTATGTCAAAAATTGTGTACATAATATCATCTTGTATAATGTTGCTGCAATCATAACGTTTATTGTTAGGGGAAGAAACGTAGGAGATTTATAAGTCTTTTACAGTGTATAACGCAAAACTTAATCTATTGGAAAAGAGCTTACTAGTTTACCTATACCAGCAATGTAGTAGGTCTGTCCAAGACGTAGTCCTGGACAGTCAAGAACTTCCAAAATGTCCTGCCTAAACCACGATCAACTATATAATGTGTTCATAAACAGCACTAATTGTTAATTTCCGCGGCCGCAATTTACGTATACCTACTCTTCAAATGTACTTTCAATTTGCCGTCCTTCGAAGGCTTATTTCTGGGTTTTTTTCACTAAAAGCCTAATAATTCTAATACGTTAAGTATGCGATGTGATATTATTTACGAACTAACTGTACTTAATTTTGTATTGTTAGGTTTGTTTAAATCGGGGCACTGCCAAATGTTTATAATCTCGCAGAGAGGTGTCACCAATCTGCACTCTATCAATGTTTGAACTGTTGGATCCAAAATTAAGTGACTGGGACAATAACACTTAGGGAAATATATTAACCTAAAAAGCAAATTGGCATTTTATTTCGAAATCCCTTGACAGTTTTTTGTGTTTTGTCAAAATTTGTGACGTTTAGATGTGAATTGTGATCGTCTTCAAAATCTCCCCCACAAATATGCCCCACAGAAATGAGTGCCGACTATAGAGACAACAAAATCAACGAAAATGCCTTGACTAAATGCAACAAGTGTGAATGTCTCATTTTGTCCGATTCTTCAGATCTGGAAAACGACAAATGTGTCAAACAGCGACGGCCCCAGTCGGCCGCAGGTGACACAGACGATGGGGAAAAACTCGTTTTTAAATCAAAATGCCCCAGTGCAGTCAAAATTTACGTAAAACACCAAAATGACGACGACTCGTCGTCCCAAGAAAAAGGGACTTCGACGGACGATAATTGCATATGCGATGACAAAGAGGGTAGAATGAAACATATCTGTTTTCGATTTTACAAGAAAAAGAAAGAAAAAAACAATCTTGATCAGGAAAAAAGAGGCTCCCAAGAAACATTCAAAGATGAAAACAATCAAACCTCGAAACCCGCTGTAAATGATGGGAAAACGCAAAGTTCATCTATGGATATTGACGATATTATTGCGAAAACGGTTTGCAATTGTACACGATGTGATAAGAAAAATGGGGGCGGGGGAGGAGGTTGCAACACAAATACTATTATTATCCCTCGCGATAAACCGAATGGTGATGGTGTTGCCAGTTTGGAAAACTTTCTCAAATCAGAAGCGAAATTAAATAGTCGCACTATGGAGGACATTTTGAATGAAATACAAAAGCAACGACGAGAAATACTGGAACTGAAAGATATGTTGGATATAGTGGTTCGAGGGTTACGTGACCATTTATTCATGACCACATTTGCGAAAACTAAAGCCGAATTGTTCGAAGATTTGTACCGAAAAAAAAGGTACTTTAATAGTAACAAAAAGACGACTAAAACATTATTTTTTTCCGTAGCTTGGAACGTAAAACTAACTYGCTTTCGATGACTGACCAACTGGAAGAAATGAAAAAAGTTGAGAACCTAGAGAGCCAGAAAGAACCAGAAAAAAAGAAAAAACGTTTTTCATTTCCATGGTGTATATAATTGTTTTGTATTAATAAAATTGTAACAATTAATCAATCTTCTTCTCCCTAGTTTGCTGCTCCTTTCTTAAAAATTTACAATCATCAATGACAAAACTATAAAACAGACAAGTGAGTGGAGCTGTTGCAAAATGCCACAATGAGTGACAATCAAAAACCCAAAAAATCGGAGGTCTATCCATTATTTCGAGTAACATCACTAAACCACCTAAAGCTACGAATATTGCACACTTCCAAACGTAAGGTTGCCGAACTCGATTATACGTGCTCCACCCAAACCAACAAATGGCAGTAAAGGTTCCTAAAAATTATATAATTGAGTTCTACCCCTGAAAATTCAACAACCAACCTATGAAAATGTTAAGTTGCATGTTGTAGCCATAATCGAATCGGCCCATGCCTAAATACGCCACATGATTGGCTAGAAACGCAACAAAAAATGTGGTGATAGTGACTAGAACGAACCTTGGAGCCTGTCGAAAAATCCTACAACACTGAATTAAATTTAAGAACCAAAAAAATTAACTAAAAAACCTCATAATCATGCAATAGCACGACATAAGTACCACCGAAAAGGCGCACGCATAATCCATAAGCTCAGTAATGGGAAAATCTCGAGTATGGAAAATGGTTGACCACAACCAGGCATTTAAACTGACCTAAAATAGCTTTTTGGTAACGTTTAAATCATTGTTTTCTAACTCACTAGACAAAATGCATGCCAAAGCCAATACAAAGGACTATCGTCTGGTACTTCCTTTCTGAATTTTTTTATCATCTTACTGTGGGCATAGAAATTTAGCAGGGAGAAAAACACTGAAGCTGGTTCTTGTATCCCAAAAAGTCGAATAAAAGGCCACTGAAACCACTGATACAGAACTGTCTTTGAAAATTAACAAAATATTACTTTTCCGTAAAACTGTGGTGTCCTCCAATTACGCTCATGGAACGCTTCAACAGTTTTCCACATACATTCATACCTACATTCATCCTCACATGACCATTGTAACAAATTTAAATAAATTGGTTGTTGATAATTTCGAAAATGCAACCCATCTAAAAAAAATTGTTTACAAAAACCAACATAACCTAGCTCGATTTACCATCCGTGCAATTCAATAACCCACACTTTTCTAAACACCTCTGATAATAAGGGGAATGGTCACCCAATGACCCTTCTGCTATGTGTAGAAATGTATAAGTTATGACTAAAATTGACACCGACATGATGCATCTTCGACAAGTTGCATCAAAAAAGTAGGTGGGTTTTTTAAATTTTGCACGTGGGCCAATGACATGCCATGCGAATTTGAACAAACCACGCCCAAGTGCGAATAGTAATCAATCAAATTAGGCGATATGGGAGGAACAATATCGAAATGTGATTTAATCCTGAGTAGGATACTTGTTAGGCAAAACGTTTAGGGCTTTGTTGGAGGCTCCGAGTTTGGGTTTTACAGGTAGCGAAATTGTATTGGGTGTGCTTTAAACCCCCCATTCGTAGATGGTGCTCTCTAGCCTCCGAAGAGGCTTAAATCAGTCCAGTCGTAGAGTCGCCATCTTCGCGTATACACAATCGTGTTCGGTACTTATTCAGACGTGTTTCGAGCGAGATGGAAACAGTGTAAATTTAGAATGTATATTAGTATGTGTCGTTATTTAAAGTGCTGCCGTGCGAAAAGTGTTTGATGTGAGATTTGTGCGGAACTTGCGTGAAATGGATACATATTGGAAGTGCGGCCACGAATAACCCAAGACAATTTTTTTTTCGGACGTTGTCTTTCGGGTAAGTTTCGTTATCATTTTATTATTATATTGACCTGGAAAAGATGTCCTTTCGGTTTACGTCACCTGATAGTTCTTTATCTTTATTGTGGATGAGCGGACGCTGCATTTGCAACATCCTAACCTCGAGAACCGTTAACATCCTCCTAACAGGTTGTTTTGTTTTCATCGAGATCTAGTTGAAAAAATATCTACTCAGTTTTGATAAAACATCGATAATTCACTAACTACAGACAGCCGACTAATGGCACTTAAATTTTTTTTTTTGGATGTGGGCCAGTGTAGGTAGTTTCTCACATTTTCGGTTTTAGACTGTTAAAAACAAATATTTGTGGCCAAAGGGTGTTGTCATTGGTTATCAATACTGAGCGCTGATAAAATTCCACAACGACGTGTGTTAAAGTTATCAATTTGAAAATCACATAGCACAAAAAAAAAATATGGAGAGCAGAGTGCCAGGCCCAAACTCGGCTTTTGGCGCGATTTTTATTATTATGTCAGGTGTTAAATGTCGTCTTGTTTGTACAAGTGAGTGTTTGTTTACGTTAAATTGTTCATGTTAATATTCACCTCGACACTTAATTATTTACATTCTTTCCATTTTTATAACAATAAACAAAACGTCAATAAAAATAGATACAGGAAAAGGGAGGTATACAAAGTGTAAAACTCTGGTATGTGTCCCGTCTTACGAAACTGGTTCGGTGGGGTTTGCCCTCAACAAACTTCTTAATTAAATGGTTCGGTTGGTCTTGTCGAAAGTGAAAATTAATGAACCCGAGGTAAAAAAACAAAGATATTTGTTACAGATAGAAAAGAACGCGTGTCATGCAATAATGATGTATCGTCTTGTTTTAAAAAATCTACAATCATAAATTACCTTATCAGTCGCATTAAATTTCATTGTTTATGCTACTTTAGACTAGTATTATAATTTGTTACAAAATTAGTCATATAGAAAGTTAATAATATGGTTTGTTTTTAATTTGGACTAGATATGGAGACCGAGTTATAGCTCCTATCGCAAAAATATAAAAATAGAACGCATAAAAGGAAAATGTTGGGTGTTTACAGGTTTTAGAGGAACTTTCATGATGCCGTATTGTTTGTAACAAAGAAAGAAAAATTAACGCATTTCCCAGGACTATTAGTTATAAAAAAGCGAATGAAATAAGACAAATGACGTGAGAATTAGTAATAATATGTGGCAATTCACGTGAAAAAAAGACAAAGTCAAGAGACTTCAGTCATGTTCTTCAAGATTTAAATGGTCTTTAATAATAAAGCACCATGCAGACCATGCAGGGAAATACAGATCATTGCGTGAGATTCGTAGATCTTTCCTTGTTCAATGAGACCCTTTAGACACGAACCTAGATCTYGTAGATAGTTAAAAGTTGAATTGTAATAAAATAGTGCTTGAAAATTCTTGTTGCGACACGTTGTCGTGCTATTCAGAACACTCATCCGGCTGTATCCACCCTCGTCATTTGTCAGCATCAAAGCTACAATGCTCCCCATGTCCAGCCTCTTTCGTATGCTAATGTCCATGTAAATCCCTCATCAGTAGGCATCAGTTTGTTTTGCTGATGATCTCGTAATCAAACTTTGAACACAATGGTGTGAATCTCTTGAGTGTTGATTTGAGGAGCCCCGTGGGTGGCTTATATATACAATCCAATCATTAGCCAGGTATGTCGTATTTTCCGTCGAATCTACCTACATCGCATTCATCAACACCACGAAAGAAAAACGATCTAACCTGAATATTATATGATGAGTGGATGAGTCAGTCGCACGAAGATAAGATTTGAATGCCGTTATGTGGGACGTTTCGAGTTACAGTTTGAGAAAAAATTGATCGTATTAGGGTGAAGGAGGCCAAAACTTAAAAAGCGATCGTTACGCAACAATAGCTCTTTATGAAGCGAGTTTTTTCGTGGTGCTAATTAAAATTGACGTCACGAAGCGGTGACCTCCGGCTACAATTTCATATTAAATAATATCATTATGGTTAGATTGCAATTTTCTTCCTACYGCGTCTGAATAACCCGATTCTGCAGAAAATTACTTATGTAATTGTTGCACGCTTTCGGGATTGCCGCCATTTTCTGTTGTTATTGCAAAAATGAAGAACGTCAAGGTTGCGACGTATCAACAATGACAACAAATAAACGCAACGGTGGAATATTTCACGCACGCACCGTGTATATAACGTGAGTCATGCTGTTTGTCATTAGTTGATGTGTTTTTAAAATAGACGTTTGTTGTCTTTGTGTATGACAATAACGTTCCGCTACACTATTTTAAATCTTGACAGTCGAAAATAAACGCGAATTGGGTTACCTTCAAACCTAGATTTTGACGCTTTGTCGTATTAGAAAGCATGCGAGGAGGTTTTTCCTGGATTATCCTTTTGTACGTGATGTTTATATAATCTGATATGATATTATACATGTCGGTATAATTATTATCGAGTATATGAAACCTGACACCGCTTTAATAACTTCCTAAAGTCCAAAGTGAGTCATCGACCGACGGGGGGAAATGTCGTCTGTTGGTGCAGAAAAATCGAAAGCCTTATTGGGAACGACGACTAGAGAAAGCATGGCAATTATGTATTGAAATTTTAATTATTACTCGCGAATATACAACTTAATTGTCGCGTGGGACGTCCTAAATTGGCACAGTCTCAAAGGTTTTGTCTTCGTCTCACCTTAACATCAATTTTACCAAAGAAATCAATTTTCCAACAATCAACTCTGACATCTTGAGAACAAAAAGGAAGTTCATTTCCTTCCAATAACCCCGTTTTTACAATTTAAATACCATACGGGGCGGAGACACAAACTCTAAGCACTAAAATACTAATTCAAGAATAATAAGCTAATAAGATAAGTTTCGTTGAAGGTTACRCAATGAATGATTTTTACTTTAGATAAGTATAGGTATAATATTTCCTCTAAGTCTCAATCCACATACATAYAAATTAGCAGAATCTTGGGAAGATTTATAGTTTTTTTAATATTCACAGAAGAGGAACCAAAGAACGTCTTTTTTCTTCAAAATTTTTGGCAAGTGTCAAGAGATTCTCTCGAGATTTTTTTCCTAAAGCGTTTACAACGATAGGCGATGTATGAAGACTCCACCCAAAATCCGACTGAAAAAAGCGATCGCCGAGAAGAAGTAGATGAAATCTGTCGAACCTTCCGGATACTGACTTTGCGTAAATTCGTTTTTTAGCGTGTTTTTTGTTGTGAGCTGGAGGCGGATCTACGTGTTTTGACATTCAAGGGAGTCACGCACTGTGCGTGCACGCAACACTGCCCCCATTGTCTTTATTGTTATTATTTTGGCAAGTGGTGATTACCGATGTCGTAATGATTCGCTTGGGGCATTAGCAACGATTCCGCCTGATTTTTTCTTTTCCATACACCATTTTGGTCGTAATTAATGCAAGCAAGTAGAGAATGATTGAAGATTTCCTGAAGTAATCAGCGCGAAGCTAAACAAGCAATTTACATTCCTAGAGCCGAGGTCCGACTGTGAATCTTTCTTTTGGTTGCGTAATTGTTGTGTATGGTCCTTTTTGGGTCGCTAAGACGGTTTTGCCCACATCGTCGTTTTTCACGTCTTATCCTCATTCATTAGACGCGGCGTTTTAAATTACCTTCCCACATCGAATGGTACTTTTTCATTCCGCGAATGAGCTTGCAAACTTTCCATCACGAAATCCGCCATACTCGCGTTGATTTTTTCGGTCGTATCGCGTGATTCGCATTACACCAATCGTAGGCTTTTTTAATGATTTTCATGTGTGTTTCAGGCACCAATGGCTGATGATGGCGATGCATCCAAGCCCAAGACGCACAGGCCGCAGGCAAGTATGATTTATATCGCTAATCCCGCCATTAACCGATATGAATGGATAAGTAATTATTATTTATACGATGACACGTCTTGTTTCCGAGCTGATGTGCCCACACGCTGCAGCTCGTCGCCGCGGGTGTGACCCGACCATTAATTTTTCCGGAGAAAGTGTTAAAAAAATTACGCGCCGGACTGACGGCCTTGGTTTTGCCCACGGTTGCGACACTGTTATGATTTATGCCTCCTCGAAGACGCGCTAAGAAAAAGACGCGAGTAGGGATTTAATAATCCAACCGCGGTTGACATACGCAGTAGCTGTGCAGGTGCTGTAATGCCGGCTTTGTTGGTACCCAACCAACCGAGACTCCTCTGTCATTTTTACAGAAAAATCCGCGTCGGGCTATTTTTACACCTTGCCATTTGCGTTCGATTTGATTGTTTCGCCGAAACTATTTTCGTTTTTTGTATACGCTATTAACCGACTTAGTAGTTGCGTTAATTGTCGGTATAACGCTAAAAATAAGTTTATTGTTGCGATTTATTTGCAACAAAAGACGGGGCGCAAGTAGGAAGCGCTTCATCTGCTCGTTTGGGTAACGACAGGGACTCTTGACTGGGTATCAGTTTCAGA